AGGCCTCTATTTTCAGCAGAACTAGTAATTTTGATTCTCATTAATTTTAAATAAGAAAACATATAAGCTAACAAGCTTGAATCTGCAGCATAATAACAAAAAAGTAGCCACTAAATACAATGCATAAATAATTATTATTATTATTATTATTTGATTATAAGTTTTTATTAGATTTATTAAATTTTTTATTATATATATTTATATTTTTTATTTTTTGTAGTAATTTAATTAAATTATTTCTATATTATTATCGTTTGTTAATTGTTTATTTAATTTCAGTATGAATTTTCTTTATTGTTGATATTTTTTTTTTACTATTTTTAGTTTATAAATAATAATTGTTCATTTCTATATTATTTATGTAACTTTGTTTATAATTAAACTTGTAAAAATTTATTTGTATTATTATTTAACATTATTTTGTAAGTTTTATTTATTAAATCTTGATTTTATTTTTAAAACTATGATAAAACATCTGCGCTGTGCTCTTGAATTCAAGCTAGCGCTTTGATCAGAATGTCTGCATTTTGTACCACTGTGCATTGACCAGACTAGACAATTTCTAAACGCGTTGGAAGTTGCATTTTGCGTGAGTTTCAGTCGCAGTTCTTGTTTTTTGTTTTTATCGTTCGCAGCTATTTCTAAACTTGGTCTAGGTGCTTATTGGAGCGCTACAAATATGTGTGCGACAAGTGTGTTGGTAGACTTTAAACAAGTTTTACGCACACATTTCTGACAAGTGACTTAAAACATAAAAAACTTGAAGTTGCCGAGCATTCGAGCTGCTAACTTTTAATATTTCGCACTCAAAGTTTAATCATCAACTGCAGAAATCAAATACAAACATACATATCTATGTTTTTAGGTTTGTGGAAAGTTTTATATTATGTTTGACCTGTTTGTCGAGCCATATGAAAATGGATATCTTTAGATGAATAGAATGATTGATATTGAAAGTGAGCAGAAAAAAACAATTTAATAAACTCGCTAAGCCGTTCAACATGCAGTGGAAAATCTATGTTTTATCCAGAAAGTGAAAATGTAATCTTTTAATAGTCGTAATTAATTTAAGTTGAACTAAAATGGGGCACAAAAAAAAAAAGGAAAAGGTGGGTCAGCTTTCCCCTGTTTTATCCGACGTTTCAAATGATTTCAAGTGCAGACATTTTTAATTCATTTAATCCAGGCAAGTGACATCAAACTGGTAAGGCTATATAATACAGTTTTCCACGAAAAGAATATAATAACTGAAGTCTGCCTATCAGTCTTCGAGTCGAGTGTATATACGAAGTGACAGCGAGCACACTTAGCTATACTATATATCTATATCTATGGCTTTGTCTATCATTTTTTATAAGTTTAAACCCACAAGGCTTTCGAACCATGTATACATAAGTGGTAGCTGCTAAAAGGTTTGGCCTACTGCCTAGTAGACTTAGTACCATGATTATATATACATCAGCATTATTATCATCATTACGATATGCGCTGGTCGTTGTTGATGATTGATGGACTTTTTTGGCAAGGAGGGCGACAATTTTCAAACAAATTGAACAAACATTAATTAGTGCCAATAAAATTGTAGACGACACACATGTCGCAACGGAAAATTCACAAAATATAGTACCAAATACGCATAAATACATGCAAACATTTATGTATGTATGTATATATATATGTGCTGTGCCTAGCATACAAATATTGGGCATTAGCAAAGGTCAAGCAAGGTCATGGTCAGCTAATGCTGCTTTGGCAGGCATATTTCTCATATTTTTTTTGGGGGGGGACAGAAGGTCGTTAGCAATGGCAGGCAGAGTCGCTCAGTTTCACACTTCCATGCCTCGCTCTCCCCCTCTTTCTTGTGCGCATTCATTCTTGTTTTATTATTTATGCTTTGTTGTTATTTAATGCGCTTTTCACACGCAGCAAAATTAGCTTTAACATTTTCCTGCCGTCTTTCCACACCTCCGGCAACATAGTTGTGGTGGCTTTTGTTTAGTTTTGTGGGCCAAAGTTGAGCACGGCTTCTAATTTATTTATTATTTAAATTAATTGCCAGCAAAATTACTAATTTTGACAACAACAAAAAACTGCAACACGCTAATGTTTACAAAACACGCTAAAAAATTGAAATGTTTGCCTATTTTTGTACAGCATTTGCAGATCTAATTTGTAAATGTTTGATAACAAAAAAGTACTCGTAATATTTCTTAGGAAAGGTAATACATATTCGTTGTATCTGCGGTGCTACGAGGGAGTTATTTAAACTGTTACGGAAAGGGATAAAATCACATAACTTGTTGATGGTTTGCAATTAGTTTGATTACAAATAACCTATGATATAATCTTCAAATTAAATCAGTTTTAAGGAACAAAAAAACATAGAAGGAGTTCATAAATTATTGATCGCATTGACGAATTGGCGCTGACCCTATTTACCAGATTTAACCACCTCCGATTATTTCCCTTTTGCAAACTTAAAAGCAATGGATTTTTGGTAAATGATTTGCCAACAATGAAGATATGGCTTCTGCGGTTGTTGGCTATTACTCTTTAGAAAATAAAAATTGCTCAAGCAAGTTGAAAAAGTGTGGGCGTGTAAGGATATTCATATTTCTGCTGCAATCATTCAAACCAAGGCAAAGGAAATAGCTGAGCAAGAGCAATATATATGTATATATGTAGGGAAATGACGCAAAGGACATAACATTGCATTCAAGCGTATGTATGTACATACATATATCTGGCAAAGCATCACCGGTAATCAATTCAACGAACAGCTTACTTTTATTCTGCGTGGTTGCAACCAGCCGGAAGACAATTACAATGCAGACGAGAACCGGATATTCACTGTATTCCAATACACTAGGTATATACGAGTATATATATATATATATATATATATATATATATATATATATATTTTTGATTGGATTGGATTAGATTTAAATTTGTTATAAATAGCGTTGTCTGCGACATTTACTGAAGAGTTGGCTGTTATGAATACAGTACTTAAAAGTTTTTAGGCCTGTCTGGAACATTTAATAAAAATGGAAACGATTCCATGATTAATTGAAACATTTCAGTGTAGTTCCCCACACAGTAATTTATAGATAACTTCAAGCTTTGTCCATAAAATTCGAAACTTTATTTGTTGCCTTCACAAAAAATCGATTTTTTTTGTATCGCTGTCTAACGTTTTAACATCGCGGCTGATTCATGGCTGATGTTAACATTCCGGGAAACTTATTAGATAGCCGGCTCCTCGCACTTGTACTAAATACAGAATCAAAACATCATCACACATATAGTACAATCACACATTTGTGTGATTCGGCAAGACAGCATTTTTCAGAAATAGCACGTAGTTAATTTTCTGGATAAACATGTGCCGAGCATGTGGATTGGACCTGCGAGTTTATTTGGAATGGAATGGAACGTCAACATTTCGATTTTGGGAATGGGGCAAGAAACGCGATTCATTTCTGACAGCTGCACACACTTCGGATGGGACTAATTAGAAACGAATGCTTGGCACGCAACTCAATTGACTGACTGAGAGACTGAATGATTGAATGACCGACTTATTCAACTGTCTAAAACAAATCCCTAACAGTAGGAACTTCATACATACTACATATATATATTTTTTGTGAATGCGAAGGCCGTAAAATAATTTGATGCAGCACCGAGTGGTGGCAAGTGGGGCACAAACAAAGCTAATCCACTCAGGCATATACAAACAAACACACACACATATATATATACATACACACTCCAATTGTCTAAACAACAATCAATCAACTTGGTTCGAAGCATCAATCAAATTGGAAAAAGTCATAACAAGCAGCAATAAACAACGAAAGCAAAAAACAAATGAAATACTTTACAAATGACATATACCGCCTTATATTCTATATAGATATCTACATACATACAAGTATATAGTAAATATATGTAAATTAAAAATATATATTTCGTCATATACTTGTATTTCAACAGAAAACGACGATAATTTGGTAAAGATTTAAAAAACTATTATCGGCTAAAATTAATCAATTAGAGCGCGTTTGTATATTATTTTCCATATTTTTCATAAATATTGTATATTGAAGAAATATTTCTTTACTTTTGAAAGAAACATTGGATTTCAAATGTATACAACAGACAGGAAAATAAGATAAAGAATATGTCTCTCCAATACCCAAACACTACAAGAGCCTACAAAAACTATATGTATGTATTAGGCTTTGCTTAAATAAAAATCGGGGGCTACCCGAAAAAATAGAAGATAAAGACAAATTATCAAATATCTGTATTAAAAAGACATTTCCCAAGAAACAGAAGTAACTTTTTCAATTTATTTGAAGTATTTGTTTTCAGAAATAAAATAAGTTTGTTTTAATTAGCTTTTGATGCACATAATTAAGATGAGTATGCATTTTAAATTTGCTGACTCCATCTATGATTGTTCAAAAGATATAGGCGTTCATACAGACAAACATTTGAGTTAAAGAAAATTTGACAGAAATTTGCCCTTTACAATTTTTAATGAAATAATATTTGGGACTCCACTGATTACAGGAAATGTTAAATATTGTAAAGAATAGTTAATTAAGAATTAAAAAACGCAGATTTGTTAATAGTTTTATGTTTTTTAAGCTTTACCTTTTCAGAAATTAATAAAAATGAGTAGAAACTGAAGCTGAAGAAACAAATGTTAATCAACTAATAGGTGTTATAGAAAAGAATAATTTTAAAATTTATTCAGAAAACTTTTTGGAAAAGTTTGCCCTTTTCGTAAAGAAAGACACTGAACCTATTGACCAGACTACAAACACCTGACCTAGATAAGATTTCAAAAAAAAAAAATATGTACTTGTATTTCAAATCGTCAAAAATGATACTTGTACTTTCCCGATTTTATGGTCATTGTGGATATGGTAAATTAAAATTATATACTATAGTATATTGTAGTATGTGGCTCTCGTTATACTTACAGTTATGTTTTATGTTGTGGGCAGCTTGTGAAAAATCCACGCCATGGTTTTTTATAGTTGTATACATATGTGCCGAGCTGGACATAGATATAGTAGTTGCTGTAGTTTTAGTAGTAGTTGTAGTTGTAGTAGTAAGTAGTAGACACATAGACGAGACGACGACGACAACAACAATTTGCATGTTGCTGCTGTATTTGCTGCTGTTTTGGCAGCATTTGCTGATTCTACTGCTGATCCGATATTGGCGGCGGCGACATGTGGGCATCTTCTAGAATTCAGCAAATTCCTTTGCGCACTTTTCAGTGCTGGAAATTCGCAACGCTTCCTCTTCGTAATCATCGAAATTGCTTGTATCACCGGGTCCTTTACACCGCGGTATGAAGGGCGCCTCGATTTTCTTTTGGAAGATCGCGATCCAGTCCGTCGAGGCGAACCATTTCTGATTCTTAATATCATTGACGCCCGCTTTCAGATTGCCATAGCGTTTGGTCAGATCGACTTGCAGCAGATTGCGCAACAGATCCTTCAGATCGGAGCCAAAGTGCGATGGGAAACGCACCTTGCCGGACACAATTTTCTCATAAATTTGTATGGGCTGATCCGCAAAGAAGGGCGGATAACCGGCGGCCATTTCATAAACCAGCACGCCCAGCGCCCACCAATCGACGGCCTTATTATAGCCCTTGGACAATATAATTTCGGGTGCCAGATATTCGGGCGTGCCACACAACGTCCAGGTGCGACCCTTGACCCGCTTGGCGAAGCCAAAATCGGTGACTTTTAGATAACCCTGCGAATCGATTAGCAGATTTTCGGGCTTCAGATCGCGATATATCAAGTCCAGATAATGAAGATACTCAAAGGCGAGCACTATTTGCGCTGCATAGAACCGAGAATGGGGCTCAGAGAAGCGACCGACCTTCCGCAGATGGGAGAACATCTCACCGCCGGGCACATACTCCAGCACCATGTACAGATTCGAGTTATCCTTGAAATGATAGCGTAGCGAGACAAGGAAGGGGAACTGTATAGCTTGCAGGATGCGTTTCTCGTTCAGCGTATGCTCCACCTGCTTCAGCTTAACGACCTTCTGCTTGTCGAGTATCTTCATGGCATAATAGTCTTTTGTTGGCTTGTGCTGAACGATCATGACACGACCAAAGGAGCCCGTGCCAAGGGTTTTGATGCGCTCGAAATCGTCGAGGGCGGCCGTATTGGTCGGATTGCGGCGCCATTTATCCTCGAACTCCTCCTTGGCCTGCTCCAGAAACTCCTTAACCGTTTCGGCGGCATCTACCTTCTTATTAGATGTGGTCGCGTTATTTCCCATTTTCGAGATGGTACCCGTAAGAGAGGACAGACGAAAGGTGGCGCTCGCTGTTACTTGCGCTTGGGGATTGCTGCCGCTGGCGGCGCCGCTGCGGTCCTCCTCGATGTTGGCGGGTGCTGTATCGGCGGTAGCTGTATGAGGGGCAGGACTTGTGGACTGTTGTGGTTGTTGTTGTTGGCCTGTTGGCGGCGTTATTTTGTGGCTGCTTGAGCGTACAGTCGTTAGCTTTTCCCCAGTCGTTGTTGTTGTCGCTGCGGAGGCGGCGGCTGCGCTGCTGCTGCTGCTAGCCTCCTGTCCTCCACCACCGCCTTCCTCCTCGTACGACGACTGCTGCTGTAGCTTCCCCTCGCTGCTGCCCCCCGATGTTGAACTATGGTGGGACTTTTTCTTTTTAAGAAATTGCAAAATGGATTTAGCTATTTTGACGAGTTTATTGACAACGTTGGGCAGGAAATTTTCGTTTCAGCGCTTTGCACACGACGTGCAACTCTTTTGTTTTGCTCCTTTTTGTGGCTGTTGCTTAACTTTTCTTATGTTGTGTTTTTTATAGTGGAAGCTGCTTTTTTCGACTTTATCTTTTAGGCGCGTTTTGTTGCTGTTTTGCTGGTTAACACTTTTTGCTTAAACTAGTTTTACACTTTAAGCTTAGACTAACATTTGGTTGTTTAACACTTTATTCTTTTTTTGTTGTTGTTATTATTAATTTATTTCTTTGTGAAGCTGCAAAAAGAATGCAAAGAAGACAACAAAAATTAGCATAACAATTAATTTTAATTAAAGTACAAAGTGCGTGCAATGCGATTTGGCACGCACTCAGTTGCTAGATTTTGAAATATAAAAATGTACATATGTATATTTTTATAATCTGACAACTTTTTTGCGTGTCAAATGCATTGAATTTGTTGTTCATTTAACTATATTTAATTAGACCACATATGTTTTACTAATTAGTTTACTTTGCGCCATTTTCTAATTACTTTGCATTTGTTTTATTTGCAGTTTCCATGTTCTTTGCTTTTGTAATTTATGTGTGTGCTTTTGCTTCTTCTGACACGACACAGCAATCAAACGAAATTCTGCACAAAACCTTTTAACTCAATAAACAAAATAATTTGCATTAATTAAGCAAAGAAAAAACAGGGTATAAAAAGAAAGAACGAATAATTCAAAGCCCAACTCGTTTTCAAAACGATCATCAGGCGCGCCGATCGTGTCAAGTGTCAAAACAGCTGATGGCTGCAATACTAGTGCGCACTCACTCGCACCCACAGTAAAGAAAAATAAAAAGACACACAAACACACGCACACACACAATTGTTGCTGTCTGTTACGCTCTTATTGGATTCTTGTTTATTTAATTTAAAGCTTGCAATTCTTTTCATAAATTATTAAAATTTTTGATTTGCCCACACGCACATATACATTCAAATTCAAATTCACATCGTTTGGTTTTGTTGCGCATTTTTGCTTTGCACTTGTGTTTCGCCGTTGCTTTTGCCTTTACATTTGCGAGCGTTTGTTTGTGTGTGTGTGTGCGTTTCTGGTTTGCTTTTTGCGTTTTGGTATACACTTCTTTACATTATGCTGTCTATGTCTGCTTTATAGTTCGGCGTTCGTTTTCGGCTGATTTACGCTTTTCGCATATATTTTAAATTAGTTAAATTGGCCTTTATTGCACGTTGAGCTAAATTTACATTATTAAATTTTATGGCTTTCTGCATAAAAATGATTTTGAACAAAAGCACACACACACACTCATGCATACATACACGCATACGCACACACAGATTGAATAATCGATTTTTTTTACACACTTCTTTTCCTTTTATTTGTTTGACTTTGCTCCGGGATTTTGTTACCTTTTTCAACTAATTACTATGTTTCTAGCAATTGTAAACACATTCAGAAATTTTGCAAATTGGTTGCATTGAATTTTCAATTTTTTTTAGATCTTATTTGCACTTAAGCTTTGTAGATTTTGCTTAGATTTTAAAATACCCGCATATACCGCCCGTTACCGAACCGTAAACTTCAACAGCCGACCGTTTAGTTCGACAGCAGTTTTAAGACAAAGAGCATCGTGTGTATTTTATCAAAACCATCGAATGGAATCCACATGTGTGGATGCGCAACTCGGCCAGAAATTGTGGCTACAAGAGGCAAGGTATGGCATTACAGGTTACAGCTCTCATTGCGCGCCACAATAAGCTCCGAACTAGTCACATACGGTAGAGTGCACAGTAAATTTACGACAGATTTAGAATTTAGTTCTGTATAAATTCACGGGGCACCACTAAAATGTCAAAAGAAAACAATATGGCTACACCACAGAGCTTATTCTGACGTCACACATAAAGAGCTTGGAATAACAGTCCTGCGCATTGCCATACCTTCTAAGTTCTTTGTACTCTGCAGTCAGAACTGGGGCTATTTCGTTTCTTCCGCAGGCAGCAAATACGAGACTCTATCGCGGGCTTTTTCTCACTGCTTACTCGAGCATTACTAATAAAGAGAGCTCTGCCAGATTGAATCCACAACAATTTAAGAGCGTTTCGACAGACTGATTCCACAACAATTTAAGAGATTCTTTGCCGATTGTTTTTGTTTTTTTTTCTTTTTTGCAAAATGTATCAAGTAAATACCCATGCATTAAATAATAGGTGGTAAGCAAAAAGAATTTATAGTTACGTAGCCGAAGTGGCAGCCATATAAAAGGAATATACTATTAAATTCTAAGTAATTTATTTACGTTATTTTTTTATTTTTAATCGCTATAGTTCTGATATACAAATGTTTGGTATAAAGCTTCATTGGTTTTTTACTTTATAAGCCCTAAATTTACATTAATAATAGTGTTGTAAGTGGTGCGCAAACACACAGAAACGAATTCTACTGCACAGCTGACGGATAATATTAACTGCTAGGGAGGTGAGTGCCAATTCGATATTTGATATATACTTGTTTAAGTATCTAGTTCACCTCACTTTGGTGTATTTGGAATTTAAAAGTGTCTTTTGGCCATTCGTTTATTAGTTGCATTAAGCTATGAATGAAAATAGGTTGCAGATAGTAATTAATATTAATAGAATATGAGATATTACAGAAATATGTAGTTTAATTTGAAATAGCATATCGATATGTTCACATCGGGAGTATCGATACCGCATCAACAAGGCAAATGCTCATCTCAATGCAAAACGCACGTGTATTCGTTTTCTTACTGCCCTCAGTGAAGCAACTAGCCGAGAGGTTGCATTTTGTTTAAACTCATTTACACAACTAATTAAAAACAAACATCAAAATGGTGAGTGTATTTATTAATTGAGCTAGTGTGGAGTGAAATTATAATTAAATTACATTCCCAAACAGACCGAGGAAGTCAACCCGAAAGCATTCCCCTTGGCCGATGCGCAGTTGACATCGAAGATTATGAACTTGCTGCAGCAGTCACTTAATTACAACCAGTTGCGCAAAGGAGCTAACGAGGCCACAAAAACGCTGAACCGTGGCATAGCCGATATTGTAGTGCTGGCCGCAGATACGGAACCGATTGAGATCTTGATGCATTTGCCGCTGCTGTGCGAGGACAAGAACGTGCCGTATGTGTTTGTCCGTTCCAAGCAGGCATTGGGACGTGCTTGCGGTGTGTCCAGACCCATCGTGGCCTGCTCCGTCACCACCAACGAAGGCAGCCAACTCAAGTCGCAGATCCAATCCATTCAGCAGGAAATCGAAAGGCTGCTAGTTTAAGCAAATTTAAGACGCAGTTTTAAGGTACAACATGTACAAATTGATTTAGAAGAGGTGTAAACGTAAATAAAACATATTTTTCATTTGAATTGCTATTTAGTGACATTTGATTGCATTTTGTGTTGAAATTTGCCATTAAACGTTTAAGAGCACGTTTTTTTTTAGTGCAGTCTCTAGCGGCGCGCGTGCTATTGACTCATCGATTTGAAAACGCGCGCTACCACCTCTAGCCGGTAAATAACGTAAATAAAGTACGTATTGCTCGCGCAAGCTGTAAAGTAATTTATACAAATAATGCTTTGTTTAGTGCAATACATGTTCATTTATAAGAATTTGCCAAAGTGGTGCTCAAATTCAGAATGTAATGAAATTACATTCCAAAAATTAAAACAGAAAAGCAATCATTTCTTTATTTTGTCGTGCGTAGTAAGTGTAGCAGGGACTCAAACCAATGAAAAATTCGCCGCCCAAGGCAAGCACCAGAACGAACAGGGCTAGTAATGGCACAAACCAAATAAAATAAATAATAATAAAATATAAATAAACGCATTTACAAATCAATAAAAAAAAACAACAACTACACTTGCCGAAATTTAAAAAACATTTTTAAAACTATAGCTTGTGCAAAGGTTCAAAAACAACTTTTTATTTGCGATATACACGCGACCATCGCAGTTCGATAAATATCGATTTTTTTAACGCATCGAGACATCGTTTATGTTTTATGCCATCCACATTAAAATTTTTTTGGCTGCCACACTATCGTCAGCAGCTGATGAGCAACAGCGACAATGAAAGTTTATCAAGAAGCACGCGAATTGGTGCCATTGTTAATATTGCAGCTTTAGGGCGGCGCGCCCGTCCATAATAAACATAAACAGCCACATCTTCGCAAACAACAACAACAACCATGAAATTGCTGGGCAAATACGTGGACAAGGGCATGCAGGGGTAAGAGACATGTGAGATCCCAATCCTTTATCTACCACTAATATCTCCTCTCGTTGTCTAGCAATGTTGTTCTCGTGCCGGAGGAGCCGGAGGACATGTGGCACGCCTACAATCTGATAGCCGAGGGCGACAGCGTGCGCAGCACCACCATTCGCAAAGTGCAAAACGAGACAGCGACCGGCTCATCCACCAGCAGCCGTGTCCGCACCACCCTGACCATTGTCGTAGAAAACATCGACTTTGATACGCAGGCCTGCGTGCTTCGGTTGAAGGGACGCAACAGGGAGGAGAATCAATATGTCAAGATGGGCGCCTACCACACACTCGACCTGGAGCTGAATCGAAAATTTGAGCTGCGCAAGCCAGAATGGGACACCATTGCCTTGGAACGCATAGACATGGCCTGCGATCCCACACAATCAGCGGATGTGGCCGCTGTAGTCATGCAGGAGGGCTTGGCGCACGTCTGCCTTATTACAGCCAGCATGACGTTGGTGCGCAGCAAAATCGAAGTGTCCATACCTCGCAAACGTAAAGGCTCTGTGCAGCAGCACGAGAAGGGCTTGGCCAAGTTCTATGAGCAGGTCATGCAAAGCATTCTCCGGCACGTCAACTTCGACGTTGTCAAATGCGTGCTGTTGGCCTCGCCCGGCTTTGTGCGGGATCAGTTCTATGATTATATGTTCCAGCAGGCCGTCAAAATGGACTATAAGGTGCTGCTCGAAAACAAAAGCAAGTTCATGTTGGTGCACGCTTCTTCGGGCTTTAAGCACTCCCTGAAAGGTATCTATTCCATATCTTCTAAGTATATAGCTTCGAACGTTTAATGATTTATGTCGTTGTACTTACAGAGGTGCTGCAGGATGCGGCTGTTATTGCCAAAATGTCCGATACTAAAGCTGCCAGCGAGGTAAAGGCACTGGAACAGTTCTATATGATGCTGCAATGCGAACCAGCAAAGGCTTTCTATGGCAAGAAACATGTGCTGGCTGCCGCCGAGGCTCAAGCTATCGAAACTCTGCTCATTTCTGATAATCTATTTAGGTAAGTGCCAAGCCTACTCTTTAAACTTATTGATAGCCAACATGTCGATACTGTACTGAATAAGAAACCGGGAAGGCTGGGTCCTCCCGACTATGGCTTACTGGCCTCTAATTGTATGAATATAATACCTTAACACATTCGGAAGTCATGGGCCATGGGCGAAATTATTATTCCATGATTTAATTCTTTTTAATGAAGAAAAACTAAAGCCCATAAATAGCACTTAACTCCTAAAAATATCGAAAAAAATTAATCTTATAATACCTCGACTGTTATATCATTAATATCGGACTTGTAAGGTGACGATTTCTATAATTCTACTCTTATATTGTTCATCCGCTTTATTATGTACTTATTTTGAGAACACCGTTTTAATAAAACAGCTTGTAGTTTCACAGTTTTTTATGGAAAAGGGTTGACCGGGAATATTTAATCTAGATCGTATTTTCCAAGACCATAAAGTTTTAATATTCAGATTTTGTGGGGATAAACGTAAAAAAATGTATGAATGAATGCAATGAACTATACAAAATGCTTTCCGACTCGGAATTAACTGGTTCCAGGGATCCTTTCTTTATTTCATCGAAATAAAGAGATACAATTTCCTTATACCGAAAGTAACATCTTCAATTGAAAATAAGCACTCAAATATGAAGGCGAAAAGAGTGCTGAGTGTTTGTTGGTGGGACTGGTATTCCATTTATCTGAGGTGTATGGGTACCATAGCTTAACGCAATCGGATCTGCGTAGACCTGTCGTGGTTCGTTCATACCTGAAATTATTCTTTGACGATGCATTCTACGATCCTTTTCTTTGTGATGAAGTAAAACAATAGCCCAAAAATAGCACGAGAGTCCTAAAAGGAGAGAAGGAAAGAAATTAATCGTTTTAAACCTCAACTATTATATATTATTAATATCACATAACTTACCACAATCGGTTAATGTTATTATTATTGGTAAAATTATTAACGCTCAAAGATTAATATTATATTCATCAAAATAATATCGAACTAGAGTAGAATCGCTATTCCAGCTACATACTTGTATAACCAAGGCCCAAGCAAATATTTCAAGAATTTCAAAGAACAAAACGTATACAGATATATAGAACTATATACATACTATATTGGCTTTAATATTTTTCACTGAATTGTACCTTAAGTGTCCCGATAATCAACAATGCTGAGCAAACTAAACATAAGCATGCTATGAAACGATAAATAGGCGTAACAAACACAAGAGATGGAAAGATTATTGGAAGTAAATAATCTACAAATGATAACTCTCCGATTGTAACTACTCTAATGCTTATGTCAATACAGAAACAACATTTTCGCGACAGCTTCAATTAATTACAAATCCGTTTATACTCGCCTGAGCTACTTATTTACCCGCAGTATTACGTATTTCTTTTTAGAGAAAAAAAATTATGCGTGTAGGGCTTTAATGATTCAGCTTGTGAAATTGGAAAAGAGGGTTTAAGGGGAATATTTGAAAAGAATTTTAAAATTAAGTACAATTTTTAACAGCAATTATTTACGGGAATCCGAAATCTAACTTCTCTATTTTATAGAGCTGGATTTTTTAATGCCACAATTCCGTAGTTCACAGATCCTAACCACAGTGATGTTTTTATTTTTAAAGAAATAGGTTATGCGGGTCCGGCCTAAATGATTCACTTTATAGAACAGATGTTTATAATAAGAATTGAACAGAAATATTTGTAAAGAGTTTAAAAATAATTGAGTTCCCCCCAAAAGGAATATACTTAACGGCAAATCCGAAAACCAAAAGGTTCAGTAGCTTTTACTGTAATTTACTAAATTATCTTCTTCTCCAGCACTTCCACATCGTCACGCAACATTTTTCTATCTATAAAATGAAGAAATAGTAACAGAGTCTCACTAACTAACTGTAAATATAGATTTTCTGCTCAGTTAGATAACTAAGAGTAGCTTATACCGCAAGCCACAAAATTTGCTCTCTTTTTTTCCACATCCACATATGTATTCTTCGCAAGTTTTGCTCAATTTAGCCATTTAAAGAAAGCGGCACGTCCAATGTTAATTATTTGATTGCCCCCCAACCGTGTATATGCTCATGATCAAGGTTGTTTCGCCAAAGTCTACAAAGTCTACAGAGGCACACACATGCGGAGACAGGCGAGTGGAAATACAACGATAGTCCAAAGAAGGCAGACGACGCGGACGCCTTTTTTGGCCGCCACATTTGTTTTGTCTGTTCTGTTTACTTTTTGTTGTTGCTATTGATGTTGTTGTTGTTGTTTTTAATGTACCCCACAGCTCCGTTTACATTTTTAATGAGCCGTTGAAATTCCACTTTATTGCTGCTATTCTATTCACACAGAAAAATTTATATGCAAAATGCGTGGCGCGCAATTTAATTAAGTTTTATTGCGCTAAGTTTAATTTATTTATTTACTTTTTCTTAGTAGCTAGAAATTTTTTGCAAAAGTTGCTTAACTTTATGATTTATTTTTTAGCACATTTAATCAGTCCCAAAGTGAAATTGTTGTGAAGGCAACGTTTTTGTTTTTCTCAAAAACTATTCAAATCGCACGTCACCAATGTTGTTGTTGTTGCTGCTGCTGAGTTGTTGTTGCTGTTGCCCCAACATACTTGATTGCTGTCGATTGTTTCGCAATTTGTAATGCAAAGAAAACGAAAAAGTTAAAAATACGCCTTTTTGTTGATAACGACGACGACGCCACAGAAATTTCACAATTTATGATTTGATTTACCATTTGTTTGTGTTGATTAGTCTGTAGTTGTTGTTGTTGCTGCCACTTCGTTGTGGTTGCTGCTGCTGCTTCTTTTGTTGCTCGTTCCATTGATTCTTCAGCTGTTTCTGTTGCGCCACAACATCATCTTTGCTCTTGCCCCTGCAGCCCCTACTCTTTAGGGCTCTCTGCTCTTCCAACTGGCTTTTGTAGTAATCGTTGAGCGTTTCGCGCAACGGCAAGAGGCGTGTAGAAGAATTGGTCGAGCGGCAATTTCTGTACTGATGGCAGGGTGAAGATATCTCCTCACAAGGTTGCCACTGTGTGATGCAGATTCCGAGCTCGGATATGATATAGTCGGGAGTTTTGGTGATCATCTTGGTAGCACAACAATTTGGGAACTAAAAGCGGAAAATAGATGTACACTAAATTTAAATTTGCTGAGTTAAGTTTAATTTATTTTAAATCATCTTTAAAATGTAATTAAATTACTATAATCATAGTTCAATTTATCATGTACATTAAATGCTTTGTTTCTTTACTATATAGCAGCATATATGATCGAATCAATTAAGAAATTTCTTATCATCTCATAGCATTTCAACTGATCTTTTAGCCATATTGTAATAGAGAAACTCAATTTTCTCACGTTTAATCATTTCAACCAAATTCCAGTCTTGCCACCTTTATTTGGATGAATATTCATAAATAGTTTCAAGCCAAGTTTGGACGTCGTCTCGCTGAGCTCTTTTTATAGAGCTTGCTTGTAGTTACTTGACCAGAATTTAAATTAAAGTCGCAATAATTGTATCTAAGGCAAGTGGGACTTGACCCACACCCCTGTCGTTCTTACATTTCTTTCTGGTCCGGCAGCTTCAATGCGCGCTAATTATTAACATGGGATGTGTGGGCGAGAACAACAAATACCAGCAAGTAACAAATAAGGAATGCTTATTTATTAAATCGCACCGTTTATGGCTGGCAACAATCTATTGCTGCTGTAGTGGACAGCATTTAAGCCTTCGGCTTCTTTGATTGACAAGCCCCTTCTCTCTTGCACGCCATCTCCCTCTCTCGCTCCCTTTCTCTCCAACAACTTGGCCACTTACAATCCACACACACACACACACACACTGACGATGTAATATGATCCACTTTGCCACAATCATATGACAACTTATGCTTGTTTCAGGCCTGAAAGACTTCTTCTTTAATGCATTAACCCCACACCCGCTCTCTTCGCCCCTCCAGCACTCTTCACATGTGCGGTTCTCTGCTGCTCATTTGACTGCGACTCGTTCGAACGACGCGTCGCTGCGTTTTCTTGCTGTCCATATGGATTTCAGTTGTTGGTTTTTTACTCGCATTTTATTTTATCGGTTCAACCAGTTTTTCTAGTCTTTTGTTTTAGGGCGTTTAATACTACACGTATGTATGTTTTATGCCTCAAAAACGTGTCCCCCTTTTTGGTTGCCAGCTTTTTGCAGCTGCTTTTTAGCGTGCATTTGTAAACATTTTGTTTAAAACAATTGTTGCTTTGCATTTATGGCGCCGTCTCTTTGTGTTGTGTAATGTTATGGTTTTTTCTTTTCTAAGACGTTCCGTTGGGCAAGAAGTGAATGCATTCAAAGCATTCATAAATCAATCTAAGCTGTGTACGACTCTACTTATTTGACAACGAAACCACTTTAGAGCTATATTTGAAGCAGACTAATTTTAGTAACCAATATTGGTATAAACAGCAAGCGTTGAATTGAAAAATTTCAAGTATACTCATATTTTAGATTCTATAAAATAACAGACAAAATATAGTACATAAAGCTTTGCATTATAAATGATTAAATTGAAGACGAAAATAGAGGTTATTGTAAGAATTTAAAAAACTGCAGAATGCCCCAACAATCATTGATAGAAATAAAGTTTATTATATAAATAACGACTTAGTATTTCAAAGAGCTATCATTTTTGAAGCAATTTCCTATAATATTTTCGAAATTATTATTTATTTATTCCTAAAATTCTTACATTTAATTGTGAAAAAAGAACTCATGCTTTAAGAAAACTGTTTATAAAAAATATTGATTAGTTTCGATTTTGCCAAATAAGAAATTACGATTGAATATCAAATATAAAAGAGAGGGATAAAAACTTTTGTTCATCAGTGTAGTAAGCAAAATACTTAACCCGTATTTAGCCTTTTTTGATGCTTAACCATCATTTAAATCTGCATACATTATACATTTTATGTTGTATTCTATCATTTGTATTGTTTTAGAAAACATGCAGGAATTATATGTTTCTGAATATCTTTCATTTTACTTGTAAAAAAAAGTAACCTATAGCACTAAGTTAGCAAATGTAAAATTGTAAATGTTGGGTTTAACAAATCCAAACTATTAGTGTGAAATTGTATCTTTTTCAATGTTTTACTTTATTCGATTTGTTTATTTTATAAACTCGTAGAAAATAATGTGGGTGTGTAAGCTTTCCTATGGAGGCCCCTGCTGGGTGCTCGATTAATCTTATAAACGAAAAGAATCTGGGAGAGTATGTGTGGTTATCCCGTTTTTCAAAGTTTGTTGCTGCACGCTATGAAGAGAATGATCTCTTAGCAGAATTGAAAGAAACGAAGATAATTCGCAAACAAGGAACCTAATGGCTTAAAAAATCCCTCAAGTAGGTTTTTCATTTCACAGCTCATTCATACATACATAAATACATACATACATACATATGTATATGAATTGAATTCCCATGATTGTCATGCATTGATTAACACAAACCACAAAGTTAAAATCAACACACACACAACCGAGACACTCACGGCGCACTTTACGGTACAAAAATTTCATTGCCTCTCTTTGTTGATTTTAATGGTATATCTGGAGAGGTCGCCATACGCCTCCGCACCACCTTCGCACTACCTGCATGCCGCGACTTTCACCTCGTGGCGGCTAATTCCATTATAACAATTGATTTCATTGTGCAATCATTGTCACGCAGCGACAACAACAACAATGGCCATGCACACAGTTCACGTCATCTCCGCAGTTTGCGGTTTGTGTGTGTTTCTTTTTTTTTTAATTTTATGTGCAATAAGACACTCTCAGATACACTCAGCTTCAATTCACAAGCCTAAAATTCATGTCAGGTGGCTGCTGCCGCTGCTGCTGCTTCTGCTGGTGACTCAAGCTCAGAAATTCCAAAACGCCGATGTTACCTTCTCTCTATGCCTATCTGCTTATTGGTTTGAGAGTGCGAATGTGGGGGGAAGGTGTGCTCAAAAAATGCCAACACGCATAGTTCCCCTGTGGGGTTTGTTTTTCTTTTTTTGCCTTTCTTCTCTCTCTGTTTCTTTTTTAAGCCGTTTTGCACTTGACATGCTAGTTTGCCGGCTTGCAGAAGAAGAAGAAGAGAAGCAAATAAAAAGCTTGATTGAGCGGAAGGGGAAGAAGAAACTTTCACTTTGTCTTTGCACGGGCAGTCAACGCACCTTCTACTTAAGATTTTTGTACACTCTGGTTTTCTTTTGCCTTGCCTTGTACGCTTGGCAACCCGTTCAAAATGTTTATTCTTATTGATCGGCTTTTATTCTTCCTCTTCGGTTTCGCTTCTCCGAACGTGTGCGCGTCGCAAGAAAGCCGCTTTGCAACTAATTCTTCCACACATAGACCGCCAAGACCATGACGACGCTCTCGCCTCGCGCACTCTCTTCAATGCACGTGCTGTGGAACGTATTTGATGCCATACATCAGAGTGGCCAGCTTAGCTATTTTCCCGCCAGTTTTGGGTGTTTTTAAAACGCAAAGAACATTTTACAATTGCTGGGGGGAGTTAAAAGTTTTTTACTATATTATTTTGTAAAGTTACAAGCATACATACTAGGTATGAGTAACTGATTAGATTTGGCCTAATTTTTTGTTTTACCTATAGTATTTGTAGTATTAGTATTCATAGAATAATTATATACACCTAATTCTGTTTTTACACGGTCTTTTTTTACATGATTATGATATAACTCGGTTTGAAAATTAAAAATTTCATATATATATATTTATAGGGTGGCACATAAAAGTGGTGGAAAAAGAAATATATGGAAATCAATAATAGAGTAAATTTCTTCCTTCTAAGCATAGCTTAAACCTTATGTCAATCTTCTCCTACACCAATAAAATGGAAATGATATTAAAGCTTCATCAGCTTGGTACCAAAAATTATCATTTGTTCAGCTGTTTCTGGCTTCTAGCCTTATTTGAACTGGCAACACTGCCACACATAGCTTCCACTTGGCGCACACAGTTAGTTTCCATTTTATTCAAATACATTGATCGCTCGCGCTCTTTCGCAGTAAATAAGTTTTCATGGAGCTCTCTGCTCTCAGTTTGGTATTTCGCTCTTCAAGCCGCATTTTTTCGTTAAACTTTTTATTTATTTTATTTTTTGCTGCTTTCTGCTGCTTGCCAACATCAATAAAAATGATAATTGAAATTTTTTTACCTGCTCTGATATGAATTGAAATTGTTGTTGGGGCGCGTTTTTAATGGTTGGAATTAAACATTTTTGTTAAGGTTTTTGAACTGCATTTCTACTGCCGGCTGTGTTTATTGTATTTGCAAAGATCATAAACGCCCAATACTTAAAGACAGTTTTGTGGTTTATAGTACTAGTATATGTGTTGGCTTTTAATAGCAATTAGCTCACCTATATTGTAACCTTTGTCCGTCCCCGAGCAGAGGTGGGGAGGTGCACCCACAATTTCCAGTTTCGTCTGGCACCCTATGTGGTATATAATACAATACATATGTGTATATTGTATATAAGTATATCATATGTACTCGTCTGTATCTCATTGCCCCTCACGTGCTGATGATTAAGCGCTGAGCAATTTTTATTGTCTGTTGTATAATTTATATTCAATTTTGCAGTATCATGTTAGTTGCATTACAATAATTATTCCTATTAGTTTATAGAGCTTTTGATCGTCAGTTTTTTTCAATGCTACTTCAAGGGTTTCCTACCAATGCGATTTATTTATAAGCCAGAGTATTGTTTAGTTAGTTGCTCAGACCTAACTATTACTAAGTAGCCTTTATAAGAAGTTTTCCCAACTATGCATGTTTCTTTTATTTATAAATACAATCAAACAATAAGAAACAGCAATATCTTTATAGATCTATCTATTACTGACATCCCTTCATAGTTTATCTTTGTATCATAAATTCTTTTAAAATTCCATAAACCTCTTTCGTTGAAACGTTTGAAATTATAACTAATAGTTAAGGAATAAGTTGAATCGTTGAAACGTTTGAAATTATAACTCAAATCGTTGAATCTTAGTCATGATATTTAAAAACTCTATAAACCTCTTTCGTTGTATTGTAAGACAATGGTGCAGATAAAATAGAATCTTAGGATCCAAGACTGTGTTCTTTAAGATTTGGTGCTGTGGATTTATATATTTCCATAAACACACTATACTGATAAATATTCTGTTCTATCTTATTTAATCGTGTAGCTAATCAGTTATAATTTTATGTTTTAATCTTCTTTTGTGTTATCAATAAAATATGTTAATTTCTATCTAATGTTTAACCTAAAATTACTTCATTTGCAGATGTCAAGATGTTAATCTCAGGAAAGAATATGTTAATTTAGTTGAGTCGGTGCGTGATGCTGGCGGTGAAGTCAAAATATTCTCCAGCATGCACATATCCGGTGAACGTAAGTACCTTTCACTAAAGTTATAATCACACATCATCTCATTCATCATTTTCATTGAAATATATATAATTGGTAGAGCAGTTTAGAAAACAAAATAGATAATGCCTTTTTAAATTAGTGGGATTTGGCTTTTCTTTTATCACCACTTATTGTATTTATCAACAGCTTTACTTAACTTTACCGATAGCCTAAAATTTATTGAAGTTCAAGAGCAAAGTACAACTCAGAGCTATCAGTAATTACTCATATTACTACTTTCTATATCTATAATTTAATTTTTCATCAATTTGTGTCCAAACATAATAATCAAAAATGGAAATAACACTCGATTTCTAGCGCTTTTGAAACTTTTAATTATATATTTGTTTTAAAATATGCTCTATATTTCGAGTATATAAACTATTGTTTCTAATAGAGATATTTACTTATTATTAATATGTAGTTCAATATCTGTATTGAAATTGAAGCCCATTTTGTTGAAATATTTAAGTATTTTTTTGTGAAAACATATTTGATATTTTGATCAAGCGAACTAACAATTCTTTTTGTTTGATGAAGCAAAGATCAAAGATCTGTAGAGAACCATCAGGACATGAGTCAAAAACAATTTCTTTAAGCTGTAAATACACATATGACTTGGAATCAATTCTCGATTTACTGAAGATATTTTCATGAATCTTTTTGTTTGTTTGTCCTTGCGATCCAAGATCTGTAGAAAACCATCAGGCCATGCTTTAAAAACAATTTCTTTAAGCTGTAAATACAGATATGACTTGGAAACAATTCTCGATTTACTGGAGATATTTTCATGAATCTATAGAGTAGCTTACAAATGGACTTAGTTGTAATTTTCATAGACAGCTCGTTGCTTTGGCAATAGCTCTGAATTATTTCGTGTTGCGATTCCTATGCCCGATTTGCATTTCAATGCATGCCATGCGGCCTCCCATACCCCCCTCTGTCTAATGACCTCGTTAAAAGCGCTATTTTTAAATGCCTCGCGCATACATATTTCTTGGTGCTGTTGTCTTCATGGAGGGGTCTCCCGCATGCAGCGCGTTTCAAAGTCCACCCAACAGATTCATAAATGCTCGGCTAGATCTGAATGTGCCTGAGAGGCTGCCGCCAAAGTGCATTTTTAGCGACACTTTCGCTTTCGTTTTAGTTTTCGTTTAGTTTTGTTTTCTTTTTTGATCATCTGCAACCAAACAATCAAACTTAATTTGTTTTTGTTGTTTTAAATTAAAATTGCATTTCGAAAAGGGCTTTAAATAGCCACGTTCCTGCACTGCCCTGCCTGCTTGGTAAATGAGTCACGAGCTGACTTAATTATTTAGCATGATTTTCGTTTTCCGTTTCTTGCCTTCTTTTTATCAATTGTCTGCGAGCTGCCAACACTTTTGGGCAATACGTGTGTGTAGTTTTTTTGTTATTAAAACAAAAAAAATAGGTCGTTGCAGCTAAAATAGCAACACATTGTTTGTTGGCTTACAACACCACTTAGGCCGCTAGGAATAGAGATATTTCACACACACACACACAGAATTAATCATTCAAAATATTTGGCAGTTGTAGCTTTAGCTTTTTAAAGTTTTTTTTTAACAGATTTTGTAGCTTCGTAGTGGGTTTTATCTAAAATCAATAATTTCCGAAAATGTTTCAGAGTCCTAACTGGTTATAATTAAAGCATAACCTGTGCTTCCACAATTTTTATTTAAACCTGGCTATAATTGATTCCTAAACTATATTAAGAGCTGAATGATTAATTTTGATTTAGTTTGAATATATGCTTTAATAGGGTTTACAATAAATATTTAGAGAAATCCCAATAATGATTGACATTTTTGTTAAATTATTAATTTTGATCCAGTATTAATGTATGTTGTACTAGTTTTCCAAATCTAGATAGTTTTACTTTTGAAAAATGTGCTGTTGTTGGCAGAGTCTAAAGGCTTTAGAAAAGAGTTTCAAATCGTCATGTTTTCAACTGTTTAAACCTGTCTACAAACATCATCTCAAGACTTATTAATCTAAATTATAAAATTGTAAACAACCTTTGATGCAATAGTGTCAGCAAATGTTTTTATGTAGACAGAGATTCCAAAAAGGTTTTTAAAAGACTGTTAAACTGTTTAAACCTGTCTACAAACATCATCTCAAGACTTATTAATCTAAATTATAAAATTCTAAGCAACCTTTGATGCAATAGTGTCAGCAAATGTTTTTATGTAGGCAGAGATTCCAAAAAGGTTTTTAAAAGAGTTTGAAAGACTTTAAATGGTGTTAATTTTAAAAATGTACTATAACCAATTCTCCCACAATATTCGTTTATCCCTGTCTGCATTTATAATCTTAATTCAATGATTAAATTAAATATTCATGCCTTTCATGAACATGCTTGCAATATCTAAATAGGAAGAGTCTATAAACAACTTTCTAAGTCTTCAAGTGCTTCGAACTTAAACATATTTCGTGATCAATTTTTCCGCAATATTTGTTGAAACATCTCTACATTGATCATCTGTGGAAAAGAGTGCAGAGTGGAAACCCCTTCCACCACATCTTGCATTTTACTGGAAAGCACTTCAATTCTTTCATCATACTTCAAGTGTATTCCAATACTGCAGTGTTCCTCCCTCACACGTCTCGCTATACACATATATATTGTATATATTGTATATATTTGCCCAACCCGACAATGCTGGCTTATCTTTGTCGCGTTTCCTCCTCAAGTGCTTTTTTTGTGTCGCTGTTTACAGAACATTTTAATCAGTTTTAAATTATGTAAACAATGCACAATACGAAAGGGGTAAACAAATTTGTTGCTTGATTTGAGTTTTGCGAGAAGAGAGGCGTAGCAAGAAATTGCGGTTGATGGGTTATGAAGCGATCTTTCACAGCTCCCATCTAATTGTTAAGCCTATGTTAAGGCAGTCAAGTTGAATGTTAAGTTCAACTCGATGAGCTAATGGGCCTTGAATGTAGCAATTGCTGCAACGCCTACTTGTGCGATACTTATGTATCTAGATATATATTTTATGCTAAATATGAAAAGGTGCATTGATTTGTTGTTACTCGACTTGTTGGCCTGGCCTTGGGCAAGAAATAAAATGCAGCAGCAGCTGCTGCACGGATTAGACAGTGAATAAGCGCTAAGATGAAAGCATTGGGATGAAAATAGTTGATTAAAATTGAGAAGCGATTAAAACTTGATGATCTAGCAGTTCTTTTCTTGCTATTCTATTCTTTTAGAGTGCAAATAATTGTTGTTAACTTTATTTTTCTTACAATGAAGTCTTTGATGAAGATGAACATAATTGATTTAAACTGAGTTGGGATTTAAGTTCTAATCCTCTATTCTATTCGTTTAAAATGCAAATTTAATTCTTAAGATTGAATATTAGAATAGTATTATAATATCCTTTTAGTTAAATAGTTGTTAATAATATTACAAAAAGATTTACTTAATTGATTTAAATTGAGTAGAGATTTTATTTTATTTTTTTATCTCTATTCTATTCGGTTCGAAAACAATTTAATCTGTGTTTTATTATTGGTAATCTGATAGCAGTTATTAACGTGGGTTTTCTTACGATTGTAATATAAGAATAATATCTTATTAGCTAAAGAGTTGTTAATAGTTAAAAGAATAAGACTGTCTGTAAGAGTGTTTAGTTAATTAAGTCTTTTAATACTACTTTGCTTTTAACCTTAATTGTTAGTAATAATTATAAAAGTAGCTTTAAACATTAAATTATAGCATGGTTTTGGAAACTAAAACCTAGTTCAATTAGGCTGTCCTTTAATTTTAGAATGCTTCTTAAAAACTAGAAATAAGAGTTGAATTTTTATTTCGGTTATCAAAACGTTTGGAGACTAAGCATATGGCATTGGTTTTGAAATTGTTTGTTTATGAAAATAAGTAAATATTTGTTTACTTTAAATAAAATAACATATTCTTCGTGAGATCTACTAGACAAAAAGTTTGAGATTTAATGTAAAGTGTGCTTCAAATTATCTATTTTTTATCACAAAAGAGACATTCTAACAAGTCATCTTCGTTTGCAAAGCTAATATCCAATTTGGTTCCAGTAAATTACTTACCGGTTTGTTGTTGTCTATTCACAAGGCCATCATCTTTCCAATCCTCACTCGATCATCTATTTAGTGACTTATCGTTTCGTTGCCGAAATTGAAAGTGAAAAGTCTTGAAATATGCTGAAAATGTGAAAATTGTGAAAGCCCATCTTTACATCTCACTCGCTCCATTAACATTTTGTTGGCGAAACAATTGGAAGTGAAAGGACTCGAAAGGACGTGTTTTAAGTTCGAAAACTATATTCGAGAACTATATTTTCTTTGCAGAGCTCGCACAGCTAACTGGAATAGCGGCTGTCCTCCGATTTCCTATGCCCGAACTGGAGGATAGCGACGACGACGATGATGAAGATGGTGCGGCAGGTGGAGACGATAGCGACTAAGTGGAAATGGAGAAACCAAGCATTTTTCAACAATAACAAAACAACACCAACAACATTAACAATAACAACAAAAACTTGTCAACTGCAATCAGTGTATAAAAAACAAAAACCAGCACTCGACCTATTTAAGTAGCTTGAGTTAAAACAAATTCTAAGAATTGTATATTAAATAGGTACTACTTCTGACAGACTTGGACTGTGGCAGGGCATATACAATACTATATACAAGTAATTTTTTTAAGTTTAAAACAAATACATAATTGTTTAAGTGTCTGAAAATCTAGTTAAAATTATAAGGTGTTTCAACAACAAAAACAAAATTTAATGTGGCCAAGCAACAGAAAAGGAAGGAAATAATATACTTAAACATTAAACAATAATTGGAAACTAACAACAAAACAAAACTAAACAAAAGTGTTCAATGCGCCGAGTGCTTGCAATTTGATTTGCTCTCTCCTTGTTTAAAATAAAATAATAATATTTTAATTGATTCGCGTTTTGTTGTACATTTTTAATACAATTTTTTATACCATAAGTTCGTAAATGCTGCGCAAAACCAATTCATTAATTGTTCATAATTTTTTATAAGTGAAATAATAAAAGCGAAGAAAAGCCAAACATTTCTTTCAATTTCATTTTTATTGCAAAGAACTTTAAACGTAGGCTTAGACTTATAGGAATAGGACGCCTATTTGCTGCTAAGTTTGGCTGCCGATGCAGCAGCGGTAGCCGCCGCCTTACGTGCCTCACGCTTTGCCGTCTTCTTGGCCTCCTTGGCGGTGGCTTCGATGTTGCGACGCTTCTTCCGCAACAGCCATTCCTCCTTCTCCTTGGACTGTTTTTCGCGTATCAGCTTTCGGAAGAGATCGCGATGGCGCGGCTTCACCATTCGAGCCTGCAAGCGATGCTCGTCCACCTCCGCCTTGTGCACCTGGCGTTTGTTCACCTTATGGACCTTGCCCGATTGAACGGACATTTTCTGTTGCTGTGAGTGAAGCGAGAAGCAGAGGAAAAAAGTTAATATTTATATGCAGCCGTGTAATAAAATCGCTTACTTCTTCCAGTTTTCGCTTTGTTTTTGGGTCCAACTCTTCTTCCTCATCGTCTTCTGCCTCCTCGTCATCCTCATCTTCATCGGAGGGCACTTCTTCGTCTTCTTTACTGACACCATCGCGACCACCGTACTTCTTATCCTCGATATTCTCATCGTGAAAGGCGCGTTCAAGCTGTGCATCAAGCAGCATCTGTTCTGCCTGCTCATCGGCAGCTTCTTCCTCAGATTCATCGTCACTTTGTGCTAAAAAAGTAATACACAGTTAATAATTAATTAAGCAGTAGTGCAGAAATGTTGCTCACCATGTGTCTCGATGAGTGATGGATCGTGCAAGGCCCTCTCCTCGGGCGGTATGTAAGCATCGCGCTTGGCATCGACGAATGGCGACAAATGTGGCGGCAGAACCTCGCCCATGAAATATTTATTTGTGGGCAGTAGCTGGCGCTGATTTACACAATCGAATATCCATTGCGGCTGAATGTAGTCTCTGGAGATGTACTGTTTCGTTAAGCTGGGCCTGTCCACAATCTGATGTGTGATGGTCTCATCGGCTTCGTCGAAGGTGGCGCCGGCAAAGACGGTGGAGTCCCATGACACTTTGCCGCCAAAGGAGCGTATGATAATAACCAGTGGCTCGCGTGGTACCTCGCGATTTATGTAGAACTTCAGACCCTTGAAGAGAGTGCGCAAGCGTGCCACCTCCTGTGCATCCTGTTTCATTTTAATAATGCGCTTCGAGTCACCATCCTGCTCGAGCAGCTCCATATCAATGTCCGGGTCCTCCTCATCCTCCTGCACTTTGTCTGTGCGCAGCAGCTCGAAATTCAGCGCAGCTATGCGATCCGAAACGAATGTAGACTCATCTTTTAAAGTCTCTGGGTTGTCCTGCAGCACGCTGCTGGGAAACTGTGGTGGATAGGCCATGTTGAGGCCATGATAGAGACGGAAATTGACAAATCCGAGCATAATCGTATAGAATTCAACGAATATCGACATGACTTTGAAGTCAACTTCATGCTTCGACTGTGGCTTAAAGGGATAGTAGTGCGGCACAATCCAAGTGACCTTCTGGCCCTTTATCTCGGCTTGGAAATAGTAGCCCTTGATGGAAATGAAGACCTTGCGCAGCGACTTTGAGGCAATCAGATAGTGCAGGAACTCAATGGTCAGTCGTCGGCAGAGATTGGACTGCTCCCGCGGTATCAAATGCAGCGAAGGGAAGGTGCTGAAGAGGAAGAGCAGCGTCAGACAATCGTCCAGATCCTTGAGCGCATCTATAAACGTTGGATACCGCTCCTTCACTATGTGATCGAGCTTAATTTCTGGATACAAGGCTAGGCGGCGTTTTAAGTTGCGGAAATCCTTGATGGCGCGGTCGCGGCCCGTTTTCTTGGCAAAGATCTGCAAGGCATAAATATGAGTAACAATTCGAAAGGTTTTCTTTTAGAAAAACCCTCACCTTGTAATCACGCAGCGTCCACACAATGGGCTCGTGCAGGAGGAAGCGTATGTCCTTCGCATGATACAGAATTTTTATCTCCGACGAGCCTTTCTGTGCGCGACGCCTGTGTTTCGGTTCGCGCGGATAGACGCCCTTGAGAATGCACAGGCGGCGAAAGTCATTCAGCGATATCTGCAGCCTTCGTATAGCCGTACGACGGCTAATGTACTGGGTAGCCTCACCGGACTCGTACTGCGCAAAAAGTTGAACAAAATGTAAAGTTACTGTGAAAATGAGAGGGACCTAACCTCATTTGCGTTATTTGTGTGTTGCCTACCTTGTTTGGACGTCGCATATTCGCTAAATTGTGTTGTGCAGCTGTTTAGTAAGTGAAAGAGTACTGTTTTCAAATTCCACCTTCGCGTTTTTGGTGAAAAATGTAATAAAATAAAGCACGCACAGCACCAAAACACACGTTTCTGTGTTGTTGGTCGCGTGGAAAGGGTAGAAGAAGAAGAACTCAAACACGAATGCCATTCACATGGAATGATTGTTTGACAGCTGTGTGTTTTGCCGGCCAGGGCTGCCAAACTACTTATGACTGTGAGCTTTTGTTAGGGAGCGTTGCGCGCGACTGCCCATTCATTCAAAATGCAATTCGAGATGCTTTTGGATAACTCATTTTATTGAATTTGTTTTTATTGTTTTATAGGTATTGAGAAAATAACATACAGTCTAAGTTTGTTGTATTATATAATATTCGTTATATATTATGTATTTAGTTTCAACATTAACTTCATTTTTTTTGTTCGCAATATGCTAATTGCAATTCACTGCTTTACAATAATTTTGTTGTTAATAACAAAAGTTCATTTAACGGCCCATTTACTTAATTCGTTTGCTGCGGCTCCGCTACAATTCAGCTATTTAACGTTTTATTTTCGTTTTAGACGCTCGTGTGTGTGTGTGTTTATTGTTTATATGTTTGTTTGTGTGTTTATGCTCTTTTTTAAGCGTTTGTTAACATTGTTAAATGTATGTATGTATGTGTGTGTGTGTGTGTGTGTGTGTGTGTGTGTATGTTGCTTTTGTATATTTCACCTAAATATCTAGTTAACATCTTATTGGGTTTTCTGCGGCTTAGATTCGTTTTGATTCACATAATTGTTGTTCCGTTTCTGTCTGTTTATTTGCGCCTCCTTCAAACATTATTATTTTTACTTGTTTACTTGTATATTGTGTGTGCCAGCCATATTGAAATTGACTATTTATTTGATTCGTATTCGTCTGTTAATGCAGTTTGATGATACCCTCTTGACCAGATGCGAGCGCGTCATATGATGTTACATATGTATAGTATGTGTGGGAGGTGATGGGCGTTGGGCGTTGGGCGTACATACATATGTGTCTGTATAAAATCTAAATGGTATTTTATTTAACTATACTTATATAAAGTAAATAACATGTTTTCCTCTGTTTATAAATTTTAAATTTCATAATTGCTGTATTATGCGATACAGTGCTGCTGCTTTATATTCGAATGTGTTCGTAAAGTAAAGCCCAAATCTTAAGGCAGTCCATGTCAGTAATCAACAGGTGCTTGCTTGTTTTGCTTCGTAGCTCTGTAGATTCCAATAAGTAGCCGGCGACGCATCGGAGCAAGCTTTGGATCGTTGTCGTTTCAAGTTACAAGAGTTTTAAAGTAAAGCAACGTCTTTCAAAATTGAACTGTTCCCTAACCTCTGGCTTACAAAATACGGAAACAAGTGTTGGGAAAATGTTGGAAAATGTTTAAACAATTGAAAAGAGATAAAGTGGACTTTTGAAAATTTATAAACAGGCAGGCCACTGCTCATTTGGTATTAATTTATGAATTATTTGTATAAATGATTTGTACAATCTTATGTGCTAAAAGCGTATCAGTTATTAAAATTAACTTTTTTTTATTATAATACTCTCTTGCTCACTATTAAATTAATTACTAATTACATGCACAACAATCTATAGATTTGTTACAATTGTCCATTCAAGAAAACAAACATGTGTGTGTGTTAAGTAAAAAATTGTACAACAATTTAACCAAACAACACAAAATCATTGGTGGGTAATGGAATTTTATTACACACGACGGCTATATATTTATTTTTTTACGTACTTCGTATCCCAAACGACGTTACACCGAAAATCGTTAACCAAATTGGCTAAAAAACAAATACAAAAAATTTCTTTGCCACATGCTACAATATATTGTTGTTGTTTTTTTCCGCCTATTTAAATAATAAACGCATTGTCGTTACATATACATACAAATTTGAAAACGCTATAAAAACTTTAAATTAGTCTACCAATATGTTAACTATTACTTTTTACTGGATTTTCGGTTGTTGTTGTTGTTATTCTTCTTCGTCTTTTTCTTTTTATTTATTATTTATATTGTTATGGCATTAAAATATTTGTTTATTTAAAACTCAGAATAAAGTTTCGAGCGCAAATTTATACAGCGGCGTGGGCAGACAGACAGAGGCTGCCCGCTACGGCACACAGCTGGAGCCGTTAGGTTGGCAGCCCAGGCCGTTAGTTTTAAATTTCGATTCGACTTCGTTTTTTTTTTTTGAACCAAGTATTCGCTTTTAAATATTTATTGTGTTTTGCAACGGACGCAACTTGAAACGTGTAAGTATATCATGCATATGCGCACTTAATTATATATATATATATATATATATATATGTATATATATTGTACATAACATTGCGGTTCGTATTTATTTAAAAAAAAAGAAAAGAAATTACGTTTCTTGCAACTGTTTATATGTGTATATGTATGTAAGTACGCAAAAAATGATATACATAACTACGAGTACAATAATATATCTATATATTGTATATATATAGGTATATGTATCTGTCTTGCCTTTTTAATAATCCATTATAAAAGTTAATATATGTATTGTATATGTATATCTATGTATGTATATATATGTATATATATAATATTTAAAGCTGAAATTAATGATTATGTGCTCGTTTGTTCGTACGTTTGTTGGTTTCGATTGTTTTACGTGATTGATTTTAAGGCTTCCCAACACTATTTGAGCTTCAACTGCCGCTGCAGTGTGCAGTAACGCGTGCATGTTTCAGCCTCGAGATGATTTTTAAAAAATGAGCCGGCTCTGTGTTTGCTAATTTGTTTGTTTTCTTTTATTTTTTTTTATAAAAAAGCCAATTCGTTGCAAAGCTAAATTATAATTTCTATTGTTCATACTTACGTACTTACTGTAAGGAGCAAAGAGATATTAAAACAATTTCTCGAAACTCAAAATTTTGCTTCAACAAAATTAGCAGACACAAGTAATTGTACGCGTGATGAAGTTGTTGTTTTTTCTTCTTTTTTCAGTTTAATTTCAAACAATGATTTTTATTATTAATTGTTAAATATTTTATAAAGTATATATAGCATTACTATATGTATTAGTTTTATTATGAATTTTATCTTCTTTTCATCATCAATTTTATTATACTTCTTGTTACTGTTATGAACGTTTTACTAATTTCTCAACAATTTTTTTTTAGTTTTTACTTTTTACGCAATTATTCAACTTTTTAAAAATCTATAACCATAACAATTTTATATATATATTTTATGTATATATATATATATATAATCATATATATTTATATTAAAGCGAGAATTCTACGACCACTCGACGTGTGTGCGTTTGGATTTTATTTTATGTTTATGTCTTGTTATTGTTTATTTAGTTTTTTATTAATGGCGTTAAGAGGAGGAGAAGTGCGTGTATGTGTGTGTTTTTGTGTCTTTAAGTTAATGATTAATGATCGATCGATGCCTAAATGAGACTAGCTAACTAGTATTGTTTATTGCTTTGTTGCCTTAGCATTGCATTTGATTTTGATTTTTGTTAACATTTCGCTGCATGTTTTGTACTGCGATTTAGGGTTAGGTCCTTGAAACAGACCGGAAATGTTGTATTAATGCATGAGAGGAGTAGTTCGTAGTCCTAGAGTTTGTACTTCGAGTGTACAGTGTTCTTATCTCTAAGAATAGAGAGAGAGGCGCGCGATATGTATCGAATGTTTGTGAGTATGTGTGTGTGGATAGAGTGTGGCGTGTGTCGGTGTTGGGGTGCTGCTTTTTCCTATCTTCAGTATGTGTGTGTATTTATAAATTTCTCGTATATATTTAGTATGTATGTATATGCATTATTTAAAGTTAATTTGGAAGATTATTGTTTAGTTAAACGTACAGCTTGTATAAAAGTTTAAGTTCATTTTTTTTCTTTTTCATTTCATTTGAATTTGTTCTCGTCTTCTTCAAATGTCTTTGGAAGCTGTCAGTTAGTGTTATAAGTTAAAGCCTGCTCTAGAATTGTAATGCAGCGAGCATCTGAGACTTAGAAGAGTTCGAAAGACTCTATATAGAAACTATTTCGTGTGCAGTGCGGTCTGGGAAGGTGCATTGAAGAAGTTGCTAAACAAAATTCCTAAATGTAAATAAATAGGTGAGAGTTTTCACCATCATTTTATCTGAATTAAAGAATATTGAACACTTTATAGTTCAAGAATTTCTTTCATTGTTAGAAAGAATATTTATTAAAATATTATAGATGTACGTATTTAAGCTAAATTTGTTTATGTTTTCTAAACAATGTTATATTAAACGTGTAACAAGAATTGTTTGATTAGAAATATGGAAATTGGAATTTCAGGAACCATTTGTAAAACATTTTAAAGAACGCTTGAAGTGTTTCTGCCTTAAATTTAGCGAGGAAACATGTTTTTCCTTTAGAAATTTGTATTTTCAAAAATAATAATGTTCAATTGATAAAATTTTTAAAATGTTTAAGAAACATTAGGAATGGGAACCAGAATTTAAGGAATTATATGTATTATATTAGAATAGAAAAGTAGGAGTTTTCATGAACATTTCTCGAAACGTTGAAGAAAATATAAATTGATTAAAATTACTATTAGAATATTTTAGATTAGAAAATGTGAAATTTTTTCGATATCTTTGCACATTTGTAAATAAGTATTTGATCATAACTTTGGAGAAGCATACTCTTTTGGAATATGGAAATAGGAAATTTGTAGAAATACTTCTTTAAAGTTTTATAAGAACTTAATTTTCGATATGAAATCTTGAATCTATATCTATATTAAAATCAGAAAGCCCACAATTTCAGGAATACATTTCAGTGTTCTTCATTGAATTTGTGGAAATCTTGAAATGCTTGGAATACTTGTATTTAAAAAAATCTCAATTAGGAAAAAATGAATGAATATTGAGAAACTTTTGATTTATTTTGAAGTCCTTGGCAGACAGCACTGTTCACATGATAGTTTTGAGGATATCTAGAGCGTAAGTTCCATGGTGCATAGTTAGTTGAGGGTGTGTGGGTTTGGGTGTGAGGGTGTGTGAGTAAGTATAGGATTGGCATTGCATGAACAAAGCATGACGTACGTAGTATGTTGTTGAACTCTATATATGTGTGTATTTTTCGAGTTGAGTTTCTTTGTACAATGCATTCAGAATCGTATTGGTATTGGTGTTCTCTGTATTTATAAATTTGCATGTCATAACATTTCGAGTTAATCGTATTTTTAATGCTTGTGTGCCATTTGTTATGCACTGCACCCATGGGGTGTACGTTCATTTGCTCTTGTTATTATTAAATAGATGTAAGTTGTGTGTGTAATACATACTATACTATATATATATAGTTGCATGTATATATATATATATATATATATATATATGTATGAATATTGTGTGATGGTTTCCCACTATATACGACTGGCTGGCTGGCTGGCTGGCCGGCCGCCGTTTAGCGATTTGTTGGCCGTGCTTTTTAAATATACAGTTCGAATTTGTTAAATAGGCGTATTATATATATATATATATAGGTATATGTATATGTATGTATGTAGTATATAAAGTTAAGTCACTGCCACTAGTTTGTTATTTTTGGTTTCTCATGTAACTATGCTTCTCATTGCATCGTATGAAAAATTATTGCTTTCTGTTCTGTGTTTTGTGTAATTTTGTCATTTCATCAATTTGTCAAATTGTCAATTCGTCAATTCATCAGCTTCAACTTTCAACTTCAACTTGCGAGCCATATGCAAACGTTTGAATATCAGTTAGATATATGTATTTGCCTACTTAAGTTATAGTAGCATATATGTACTTTATGTTTTTTCTTTATATATAAAATATATATATTTATATATATGTATGCTTTTACGTTAAATGTTCAATTTGCTTCGACTTCTTTTTCTTGATTTTTTTTTTTGTAAATTTTTTGTTGCATACTATAATGCGGTCACTTTTTTCGAGTTTTTTTTTTTAATGTTAGTTTAGAAAAATGTTTACGTACTTCTAAATAAAGAGAGCAAGTTTTTTGTTTAAATATTTTTGGTTGTTGTTGTTTGTTGTTGTTGTTATATAATACGTATGTTTATATGCTCATATATATGGGGGAGGTTTTTAAGCAAAAAAGTATATGAAATTATTTGTGTTCTTTTTTTCGTATTCGTTTTCATTTTTGTGTTTTTGGTTTTGTTTTTCTTTCGTGGTTTAGTAGTCTATCATAAATATTGTTAAATTTAAATAACTGCACCTTTTACACGCCAACAATAATCATAATCATAATAAGTTATAAAGGTATAATCGATCATCGTGTTAAAATTATGGCAAATGCTTAGCAAAATTTATTAAAGTAGGTATTTCTTTTGTTACTTTATTCTTTTTGTTGAGTATAGTAGTTAGCTTACTAGAAAGTTTTCTTTCCTTCTTCATCTTCATCTTCTTCTAATCTCTGTTCATCTGTTCTCTTCATCTTCTCATCCCGTTTTTCATTCGCAAATTATCACTTAATCAATATAGGTAGGGCGATATAGGTATGCCGTGTGAGTATGTGTGCGTGTGGTATATAAGTGTTCATACTCGGTTATATATTTATTTTGGTTATTAAGTTAAAACAACTTGGTTGTAAAAACTAGGGAAAGAAGTGTTTTAGTATAGCCTTGGAATTGCTGGAGAATTTCGAATTTAGAAAAAGATTATGCAAATAAAATACAATACTTAATACAAATTTGTGGCTTTGTGTGCTGGGCAGATACACAAATACATTCTATATGAGCAATAAATAGTTAACAAAAATATTATTATTCTTTCAGAAACACTCTTAGCACTTTCTTCTGCAATAACTATGTATTTGTCTAGCAGAGTACATATTTTATTTAGGTATTTATAAGGCGCGGTATTCTGCTGCTTAGCTGATATGAGTATTGGTAGAGCCTCGTTTGCATTTTCTACACCTATACGCTGCCTGTTTGTTAGTTTTGTAGAACGCATACAACGAATCATTTGAAATTCATTTGAGATTTCAATTCCCAGATTTACTTTAAAGGTTAATCTTTAAAATTTGTAGTGCTGTTAAGCGAATTAATGTATTTATATCATAATTTTGTTGTTGGTTTTGTGCAAATCATAAATTTCCTTTGGTGTTGTAAAACTATAATTTGAATAGATTCATTATTTATTTATTACAAAAATTAAGTTACTGTTATTATTATTTATTCATCTCCCTTTAAGCAACATATTAAGACAGATTTTTTGTTGTTAATTTTTAATAATTGGAGGCAAATAAATAGCTAAGAAAGTCAGCCCAATTTTTCGTCTTGTACAAGAATATAACGAATCCATAGTATTGAAAAACGACATATCGAAATGATAGAAATTTAAATTAAAGTTCGGTTGATTTTTGTTTGAACAAATATAAGAATAATGTAGAGCACATGTCCAATTCTTGGTGTTGTGTTATTATTTCTTGCCTTTCGTTTCATTAATTCAAATATTTTTCAATTAAATAAGAAACCAAGTTAGATCTTTAGATTTCTTAGTGTTGGAAAATTACATATTAAAGCATTGTATCTGCAATTGATGAATTTTATTGGGACTCATCTTATTATTCATATCATTCGTTGTATCGTTGCACATCCCTGCTGGAAGCTGGAATCAATAACAAATTAAAGCTATTTAGTATATCAGATATATTCACAAATTCATGTTTTGCAGCATTCATTCGTGCTTAATCGTTTTTCTTGTGGACGCTATTGTTCCAGCTTTCCATCATTAGGTTGCGCATAAACGTAGGTAGGCATCAGAGGGGTTTATAACTAATAGGTTTAGAGTACTGTTGTCATATTGTAGAATTAAGTATGCCTGCTGCCCGACACTTAGCCACGAAACTGCTTAGGTTAATTTTAGCTTTTGCCTATTATATAAGGTGCATGTGCCAGAAATATTATCATTATTATTATATTTTTTTGATAATTTTGGTTTATAATAATTTTTTTCTTTTGGCTGTACTATATTTAGAACCCAAAGGATCAGTTAAAGTAATGTTTTGGGAAGCATTATCTTGTTCTTCTAATCGTAATAATAATAACAATAATAATAATTAGATAAATAGATAGATAAGGTCCATAGTTGAGTAGAAGATAGTAAGATAGAGAGAGCTTAAGAATCGTTTATAGGTTGTTCAATGTTGTCATTAAAAAGCTGCGACTAAACATTTTAAAGTAAATGTCTTTCGAAAAGGAAACGATGCACTTAGTTGCACTAACTAACTCGCATTTTACGTTAAGTTTTCATATTTTTATGTAATTCTTATTTATTTTTGTTTCATTCTTTATTAATGCTTCTGCCATGTATGTGATTCTATGTGTGTAGTATGTGTGTGGGTTTAACAATTCGATTATTTAGTTAAGTCCTTTGTTTAATTCATTAATTAATTCATTAATTTGTTTGTATATAATTTAGCTAAGTGGATGTTGTTGTTGTCGTTTTGGTTGTTGTTATCAAACATGTATGTATATTGCGCTGATCGGCTATCGCTATCGTTAACGTTATCGCTATCGCCATCGGCTGTGTTTGTAATTTTGTCTTTGTTCGTCATATTCGCTTCTTACACTGGACAAGTGATCATATCGTATTCGAACATCAGCGAAACAGCAACAAAGACAAAATACAGTAGAAACATGGTAAATCCCAGCCCCTTGTTCATGCGCCATCGGAAGCAGGCAATTGACATTACCACAAACACCAGCATCATAAACAAAATCGTAATGGAACAAACCATGCCTACAGAGTTGACCTCAACTGGTGCATCGTAGATAATACCATAAAGTAGCCAGGGAATTGGCAAGCTGGTTAAAGGAGCGGGGAGTCAAGGAAAACATATATTTTTTTATATACATTGTAGTTTATTTCTGTTTCCCATTTCAAACGAACTATGCGGAATAGAAATGGATATCCAAAAAACCATGCAGCTATCGAGATATTATGCAAACATTTTGAAAGCGAATATCTGAATGGTATTTTGGATTCTCAACTCTTTCGATTCCGCATGACTTTATGAAATTACGAAACGAATTGTGGAGTATTGAAATCAATAAATGTTTCCATTTCGAAACCATTTTGAAATCTTAAACGTATTCCAGATTCTGGTTTCTTTCAATTCCGCATAACTTCATGGAATTCGGAATTTTGGAGAATTGAAATCAATAAATGTTTCCATTTCGAAAAAATTATAGAATCAAAAATCTTAATCGTATTTTAGATTCCCGTAACTTTCAATTCCGCATAACTCTATGGAATTCGGAAACGCATTTTGAAGAATTGAAATCGATCATATCAATTGTATACTGGATTTTATCAATTCCGCATAATTCGATCGAGTTTGAAATCGAATTTTGTTGAATAGAAATTAATTAATGTTCGCAAATCCGTAAAACAATTGAGCTAATCGGCATTATAATACATTTTTTAAAATGTTGGAATAGTATTTGGGTTATTGTCTATTTCAATTCCTCATGATTTAATAAAATTCAGAAACGGAAACATGGCTAATTATTTTAGTTTTTAGAGCAGTTTCTATAGACTGTACTTACCCCACAGTTACATCGAATATATTGCTGCCCACAGAGCTAGACACAGCCATATCACCAAAGCCTTTGCGTGCCACAATAACTGAGGTTATCAAATCCGGTATGGAAGTGCCCGCTGCCAGGAAGGTCAGTCCCATTACCTATGGCCCAGAAATTGCTTATTTAACTGCTGGCTGGCTGGTTGGACTTTTCCGACTTACCTCGGGCGGTATGCGGGCGGTATCGCCGGCCACATTGGCCCACCATACCATCAGATATGAGAAGGCGGCTATCCACAGTATGGAGCCAATGAAGGTGACGGGAAAGAAGCGTTTGCCGCGGGGCGAGCGCGTATCGGGCAGCGTTAGCCACATCGGTACCAGCAATGGAGCGACCAGAACATAGGTTAGACGTTTCCGTGCCGTATCCGGCCAGGCCATGCTCAAAGGCTCCGGTTCGTCTTCTATTTCAGGTGCCTTTGTTGTTGTTTTTTTTTTTTTTTAGGAAAACATTTTTCGTGTTGTGTGGAAAATAAGTTGCAGTTAGTTTTGTGTGAACTCGAGTGGAATGGGGGTTATAATGGGTCTTTCGTTATCTTTACAATACGTAATAATTGATAATTGATAAATATATAGTAGTATGTATGATATAAGTATATTTATAAGTAAGTATGTATATAGAATATTAATTTGTTCATATAAAATATATAGTAAAATGTGTGATTATGTACGCTCTTAAACGACAGCTGAGTGGTGAGTTCTGAGTGGTGAGTTGTGAGCTCTGAGTGGAGATGAGTGGAGTGGCTTGAGTGGATTCGTTTGATTTGTTGTGATCGGCTTGGCACGATTGCTATACAATGATGAGTGTTATGAATGCATGATTATGGCTTTACTTTTCATTAATTGTTGTGCATATTCAGCTCTTTGCTATTTTTTACAAAAGTTATTTCTTCTTTTTTGTTGTTGTTTTTTTTTTTGGTTTGGAATTCATTTCGAAGCACTCACAGACAGGCGTTTAGAGCTTGCTTGGATTTGGTTTAGTCAACGTTTAATTAATTTAAACAAAAAAAAAAAGTACGTGTATGTACAACTGGAAGGGGGAACACTTCACTAACGATTATGTTAAGAATAAAAGAAATTGAAATTTTTAAAAATTTTATGCACTTACTTCTATTATTATGATTATTTTTTAAATGCTTGTATTTTACAATTATTGTGGGTGCTATGTCTTAATACGATTACATATTGAAACGTGCAGAGTTCGGCATTAGTCGGGCTGGTGTTTTCTTTTTTTTTTTTGAGCATTCATTGATTGATTTCTTTCCACCAGACCCCAAAAATGCACAGCGCATGCTTTTCAAGTGCAACAACACAGACAGAGGCTACACAGACACACCAATGGATGCGTTTATGGGTAGAGCCCAAAACTAAAGTTGGAAAACTATATAAATAGATGAAAGTAAAATTATTCGATTAAATCATGATGAGTTCACAACTAGAGCTAACTTTTAATTCTACGTTACATACAATTTTATTTATTTACTATCTAGGTATTAAATGTATTGGTGTAAGCGGTACTTAAGCAATGTGAGTGAGAGTACAAAATACTCGATTAATTTTTTTAAATGTTTTGTTTTATTTTGCAAAAGCGGTGTATCTAAGTGTGAGTTTATTCTCGTTATTGCGATTGCGGCGTCTGCGGTTGCGTTCAACGTTCATGGGCAGTGCCTCAATATACTATACTTTTTTAAAAATATTTATGTAGATTTATAGTGCCATGACTGACACATTAGATCGAATAACTAAATAACAGTGTACCCATTCGCATGTCGCTTAATCATTCATCGTAATTGTTTAGCCTCCTCCCCACATGGGGCGCGTGTCATGTTTCAAATGCAAATGCTTCGAAACTAGAGGTGGTTGCGTGATCTCCCATTTAACGAGCCTTTCAATTAACTTTAAATATAAGAAACTGTTTTCTTGGCATCTGTTTAAGTATGTTTCACCGTTTTCATTCCTGGTGCTTCAAATTTTAATGCTTGGGAACTGGGCTCGATACTTCATTAAAGGCGTATTTCAAGTAGTACCTTGTAAAATTTTTTTTTTTCGTCGATTACCATCGAAGCAGTTTAAATGTATACACCTTTTCTATTTCTATATATCCACTAGAAAATGTCGAAACAGAGCCTTATATTTGTTGCCTTTAAAAACGATATTCTATTAATAACTTGTGCTTCAAAATATAGCTATTTTCCTAATATGAAAACAGACGTCTTCTCAATTTTATTTCTTGCCACTATTTCCACTTCTTGTACTTCTCATGGAACTACAATAGAACAACATTTATTGCACTAAGTATTTATCTCGTCTACGATAACACATCTCTAGGCATAACTTTTGTCGTCTTTATAATCGATAATCCATTTAAGACTATGATTCAAAAATGTAGCAGAGATAAACCGCAATTTGATTTCTAAAATATTGAAGTCACAGAACCCTCTTTATATCGTTTTTATAAACGATATTTCTATTTCCACTTCTTTGTGATCAGATTATTTAACTATTTATGTAAATGTCGTTTACGATAACGTCTCCCACACATCTCTAGGCACAATCACAGAACCCTCTTTATATCATCTTTATAAACGATATTCTATTTAAAACTTTTCCCACAAAAAGTGTCTCATTTTCTATATTGGAATGCAGGTGTCTCTCAATTTTATTTCTTTAAACTATTTCCTCTTCTTTGTGATTAGAAGACTTAAATATTTATGTATATCTCGATTACGACAACGCCTCACACACATATCTAGGAAAAATCACAGAACCCTCTTTTTATCGTCCTTTTAAACAATATTCTATTTAAAACTTATCCTACAAAAAATGTCAAATATTCTAAATTGAAATCCAGATGTTCTTCAATTTTATTTTCTGAAACAATTTCGACTTCTTTGTGATCTGACTATTTAACTATTCATGTAAATCTCACATCTTTACTCCCAACCACAGAATCAGTTGTGGTCTAGATCGAGTGAATGAATCACTTTCCTATAGCAGAAGTTCAAGCTGAATTTTCCGATTATAACTAACGCTGACTATAGCTTTTCCTATATTCAAGAAATACTATACCTTTTAGTATATATAGTACATATATCTCACACTGCACAGGAATGTTAGTTTGCAAGCCGCTAGACTGACGTCACGTCTTACATATAACGAACTTAATTTTGCTTTTTTGTTTAATGTAGTTTGAGAAAAATAAATAATAATAAAATTGTTATGCAATATATAGAGGAGAGAGATAGAGAGAGAGAGAGCAATAAAAATTGTTTATGAAACTAACTTTGATGCTAAATTTGCGTGTCTGAATTTTGACCCTCTGCTCAATCCAGCTAGGACGTCGACCACTTAAGGATGGCTTTTTGAATTGAATTTAAGTTAAATTTGTTTTGAGAGAAAAGTATATAGATATATATAATTTTTCAACAAATTATATGCGGTTGCCTTGATTTTTGACGTTACTTTTTGTTTGTTTTTAAATGGCAATTATATATAGTAGTAGTAGTATTATATGTAAACATGTAGTTAGTTATTGAAATAAAAGTTGATTAAAACTGAAACTGTTAGAGATAGTAGTTGTTGGGAGACAGATAGAAAGTTTTCAAGTTGGTTGATTTGTTGGTTATGTGTAGAAGTGGCAGTTAGAAGTTAGAAGTGTGGGGAGTTTTGTTGATCGGGTTTTAAGTAGAACATTTAACAAACAATCACATACAGCGGGAAATATAACAATTTGGCATTTGGGGTTGACGAGTCAGATAGAAATAGATATAGGAGATAGCGGAGAGAATTTGCTCACAGACTTGGCCCAACTCGGAAATACTCGCAATGTTGGGATTTTCAAATTTTTGTATCGCAGCTGCGTTTGACTTCACAATAACTTCACAATCACTATTAAGATAGTCAACGACTTTGAATTTTGTGGCTGTTTGCTTTGTCATCTTTTTGCAAAAAATTATAATAACAAAAAAAAATGACAACAAAAATAACAAGAACACCAAGAACCAAGGAACGTAATGCAATGCTGTTGTTGCTTTGGCAAGTGCTGGCTATGCATAGTAATGTACGTTTAAGAAAAAAAAAATGAGGAAAAAAAAGAAAACAATCAGAAAATGTCAACAATAACACGACTTGGGCACAGATGTGTGGGGGCGTGGGATCGCAGCTGTGTCATATATGGTTTTGGCTTTACGGTATTTGGAGGGAGCAGCGAGGCTGGAGCGCAAGGCGCAGCATTTGCATAGCGAGTTATTGTTGTTGTTGTTGTTGTTGCTGCTGGCACGTGGCAACACTTTGAAATGAATAACTGAATGATGTCTTGAATGTCTCGAGTGGCTCAAATGACTTCATCGCACAGCATTGAATGTGAGTGGAAATCATAAAGGTATTGAGTAGAAAAGAAAAACATTTTATGTATTTTTACTTTTTTTTTTTGTTGTTTTGTTTTTTGTTCTTGGTACATACTTCGAATAAACGTTGTGGGTGGGTTAGCTTATGTAGTATGTTTGTAGGTATGTACTGTAACTATGCAATTATGTATGTTCCATGAGTTGATAGGTAATATTACGAAAGTGTCAACATTCGCTTAAAAATTACTAAGTAAAGACACAAAGCAAATGAGTTCCAAATGGTCTGCAGAAAAACGATAATTTTATGCAAATACTTAGTAGTATATATTGTAGTAGTACTTTATTTTAGTTTTTCGTTCTATTCCGAATTAGCTCTTTATTTGGGAAAAAACAACACACGCACATACACGCACAAATAGATGAAGAGATGTGGGATGTGTTGCGAGAGAGTATTACAGTTAAGGCATACACAAAAAGGTGACAGGTGAATGTGTATTAAGAGAGATAGAGAGTTAGATAGAGAGAGAGAGCCAGAGGCACACAGATAGAGATAGAGAGAGTTTTGTGTGGGTGTGAGGTTGTGAGGGTGTGTGTGTGTGGGTATGTGGCTTGTGGGTGGAAAGTTATATGTTAAATTACTGATCAAAATAAAAAATTAATATTACTTTTGTTTTTTTTTTTTTGGTTTTGTTAAAAGAAAGAAAGTTACATAAGAATTCATAAGAGAGTAAGAGAAAGAGAGTTACAGTAAGTCACACATAAACGTTGCATAAACACACAGACTCTTCTTGTTGCTTCTTGCTCTTAAATTTAATTATAATAGGTAGGTACAGTATTTTGACAACAATCGTAGATAGGAGCTAGTAATTGAAGCTGTTCATTCAGCATTGGGGCACATAAGTACATATAAGGTCTGGCCGAACACACATACATATGTACATTCCTAAACATACATACATACGTTTAAAAAAAAATAGTAGAAACATTTAGAAGTGTAAAGCCATGGTCCCGCAGGCAAATAATTTGCTAACGAATTCATCTATATTTACAAGTATACTGCGAGAAGTGATTAACAAGAGGGCTGCAGTGGTATGCAAAATATTTGATTGAAGAAACGTTAACATCAACCGTACTTGTAGAACTCAGCAAATTTGTGGGCCAATTATTTGCCTGTCTGACCATAACTCCATAATGACGCACCATTAAACGGTTTTAGCTGCAGTTCAAACGCTGTGCTGCTTATGCATTAATTAGACAGTCAATCAATCAGTCAATCAATCAATTTTTACATTAGCATTGCAAAGAAACATGCCAACTAACAGAACATGTAGAACTTTTGGAAAAAAAAGAAACGCTTGAACTGGTAGGCTGAACCATGTCGGTGAGCTATTAAAGAAAAACTTGGAAGAAATTGGGTTTACGATGTTTAATTTGGAGTAATGCATTCAACTGACACTGGCGCGTTTAAGTTCGGGTTATAACACAAGAAACCTACTATCTGTAATTGCGGTAGTTGTTCCTATATCGTAAATTTTCATCTGTTTCAGCAGATGCTCCAACTTTAAATGTAACCTTACGATATTCGTTTTTACGATATTGAAATTTACGATATTGCCTGCGATTTGTTGTATGAAGAATGCAGCGCATTGTGTGTGACATTGTATTTTTTTTTTTTTTTTTTTTTTTGTAAATTTAATTTAATTGGTTTTTTAATACAACAAAAGAAAGACTCAAACGATAAACAAATACGAAAAGAAAATCATGCCTAAAAATCATTTCATTAGCAATGTAAGTAATACATAAATATGTATATAGATATGTATGTATTTAGAAATCGGCACAATGGCACAACTTACCGAATCGAGCGTCGTGTCTATATTGCCATTAGGTCGATCGGCCAGTGTGGTCTCCTTGAGATTGATTTTGACGTGATTGGCCGCCGAGGTGGTGGCACCACCGCGTTGCGGTTTCGTCGCGTCCAGCAGCACCTTTAGGGAGGCGATCGCATGCAGTTGGGTCGCCTTTTCGTCCACTTTGCCTGGAACATCATCTTTGTCATTGTAATTGTGTGTGGTTTGGGGGGAGGTGTTCGATAAATAATGCAGTGTTTCATTTCACACACAGTTTTCAAATTGTTTTTGTGTGGTTGTGTGTGTGTGTGTGTGCGTGTTAGTTCAATTGGTACATTGTGTATGTAGAGTAGAGTAGAGTAGTTGAGTAGAGTAGAGTAGAGTAGTAGAGAGCAGTGTTTGTTGTTGTTGTTGTTTTTTCATTTGTAGCACACAACGAATTGAGTTTGGTTTGGTTTGGTTTTGTTTTGATTATTTTTTGAACGCAAAATCCAAGTGTTTTTATTTTTATTTTTGCAAAAATTAAATGAAAAAAAGAAGAAAAAGAAAGGAAAAATTGCATCGATTAAAAATGAGAAAAAACGAATTAACCCCTTTTGAGGTTTCTATTTTAATATTTTCGTTTTTTGTTTTTTAGTTTTTTGGTTTTTTTTTTCATATAGCAAATTATATAGCAATGTAAATGCCCTTTGGGTTTTATTGAAAATATTTTATACAAAATGTTGATGTCAGTTGCGAAATAGCATTTTGGAGATTGGTTGTAATAAGTAGTTAGCTAGAAGAGGTTTCAGACTAGACTGCATATACTAGAGCGGAGTCGGAGTTAGAAAGCCAGAGAGTGTATGCAGAGAGTAAGAGAGAGAAAGAGAGAGGGAAAGAGAGGGCAGACAGAGACAGAGAGAGAGACAGAGAGAGAGAGAGCGAATAGCGCTTTGAAGCATAGTGTTTTGGGGGCGCTTATGAGTATTATGCGGGGTTTATGGATTTGTTTTTAGTGTTTTTTTTTTAACGGGCTCTACTAAAAGACTACAGCTAGTTCTATATGCTAATAAACTACTGATATTTACCGTGTCAGAGTCACATGGTTATTTGGTCTAACTTGTTTTTCTTTTAGCTCTGTAGAGTATTGAGTGTGACAGCGAAATTGTGTTTTGCACTAACAGCTGATTTCTTCTTTCAATGTTAATTTTGTTTGTTACGGTGGTTAGGGGAATGGGCTTTCGGGGTGGAATGTTGTTGTTATTGTTGTTCTCAATGTGGCATGAAGTGGTACGTTTCAGGGGCTCGGCTAACTGACATACACAGAGCTGTACATATATGTGTGTATTTTTTGGGCCCCAAAATGGCTCTAGCATTTATTTTTTTTATTTTTTTGCATATATACATATACATATGTGTGTATATACACAGCGACTTAAAGTGACTTATTTATTCTAGCATCTAAGCTTAACTTAATTAATTTAATTATTAATTATTTTGGCCAATTATTGTTTGACAGACAGTCCTAAATTGCTAAACACATGCTCAACAAAATAAATAAACAAATATATAACTAACAGCTCTATTGACTTTGGCAACTTCAAAAAATTTAGACAGACAGAGCATATTTTGAACACATTAACATAAGCACTAACATTCCAAATGTATAAATGGGTATGAATACAGTCGTCGGCATAAATATATGCACATTTTACTTCAAATTGTGCTTCATCCTAAAGTGAAGAGGACACTGTTTTAAACGGCCAGTATTTCCTTTAGGATGGTGACACAAGGCTTTTGGTGGTATTCGATATCCTTTTAGCGCTTTATTTGATGGGAAAATGCAATTTCCCCTTCGAATCGTAGAAACAAATCCAAAAGCCAAATAGCTTCTCTTTCTTTGGGTTTTCACTCTTTTAAGTGTTTCTAATTGGCATTCTGATGCTTTATTTTAGGATCTTATTGAAATCATTAAGTTTCGTCATCAGCCACAAAAGGGTTTGCTTCTTTTTTTTTAAATCCATAATGAAGAATATTTAATTATGAGAAATTTTTGGTTAGCAGTCAACAATTTATCGAACAATGTAAGAACATATCTTTCGCAGGCCCATTTCTTCAAAAAGGGCACCATGAATCGTTGATTTCGGTATATATTCGGTATATTTCGGATATTTAATTCACTTTCGCTGAATTTATCCGACAATTTTGGCTGATTTTTGATAAATTCCCTTAAGAGCATTCTTTGATTGCGTATACCACCCGTGGACTCTGTCACGAGATAAACAATTATCGCCATTATCGTGAAATTTTAACAGGATATCGATATCGATTCCTTGCACATATAAACTAAGCAATTCAGTTTCTGCATTTTTTATAACAGCAAATGGAATTCAATTAATGACACGAAATATTTTGTAACATTTCAAATGATTCTTTTGACAGTGCCGCCTGTGAAAGGGAATATAGTTTATACCCATGACTGTATATATATATATTGTGTGGAGTATGCTATATATATGTATGATAACGAGATAAAGACCTATGCAAAACAATTCACTTGGCTAGTCAAGTTGACATGCAACTAACCAACGAACTAACCAACCAGTTGGTGTAATGACTTGTAGCTATGCCTAGGCCAATTTTTCTTGAGCAGCATTTTTGTTTGTATTTTTTTTTTTTTCTTATTTGTTGTTTAAAACCAATTGTACTAGTTGCCAAGTAATTACAATTAACACATACAACATTAAAGGCATACTTAATATGTACAAATTATTTTGTTTTTGTCACGCGCCAAACTTGACATTGGACAGAATTGATCGAACAAACGAACGAACGAACCAACAAACCAACTTCTAAGTAGTAGCTGCTACTTATATATATGTATATATATATGTATGTATGGGTATATAGTGTGTATGTGAGTGTGTGAAATCTAAGAATTTTTGCTACATACAATATATTGTTTTATTATTAGTTATATAAACGCATATGTATATATATATATATATATAGAATGTAACTCCAAACTGACATTGAACAACATAAAATATTTTCGTTATTTGGTTTTGTTTGTTTTTTTTTTTCTTTATTTACGCCAAAATTAATAAAAAACAGATAAACAAAAAAAACAAGAAACTGATGCCAAAAATTATTTATAATTAAATAAATTGCATTTTTATAAGCAAACAACAAAAACTTGGCAATAAAGCGAATAAGGCAGCATTGTAGAAGAAATTATAGAACTTGAAATAACTCTAGTAGGGCTACCCGACGCTTTAATGCCCTCAACTGTACAGAAATATAGAAACATTTATCTCGTATATCATATTAAATATTATACGACATATTATAACTGCAAAATATGTACAAATAAGCTTAATTTCCACTTTAAAAGGGGTTACCCTTTATTGCTATAAGTAAATTCTTTCACTTATCTATTTAAGATTTTCTTGTTTTTCCGAAAAGTTTAACCAACTATTTTATAAATATTGATTTTTTGCTTTTTCAACACAATTTCTAAGCCCGAAATATGTAAGTCAAGCTCTCTAAATAGACGAGATTTCAAATTGCAAAAATTCTAAGTAGAAACAAAGTGTTCATAAAACTTTCAACAACTAGATTCTTGAATACATAGTACTTGAAAAGCCAAATCAAAAGTATGTACATGATCAAATTATGGAGCACTAGAACTCATTTTAAAGGCAAAATAATTAAGAGCGCCTATAGGAGATAACTACATCAGAACAAGCTTTCTTTCTTCAGTACGAGAATTTTAAAAACACTGTTTTAATTTGCTTTGCAAATCAAATGCTATGATGCTATAATGCTTTTGAAACCAAATAATACAATCGCTTTTCAGAAATAGGCTTTTAATATTTCTAATTACTATTCCTCTTAGTTTTATAGAATTTTGGAGCGGCATAAAGTTTCCTTGGGGTATTTTATTGTTGGACTGATGCTTTTGTTTTTAAAACATTTTCAGGACACTTTAATTTGTTTAAGAACTTATTTAAGCCCTTAAGCCATTTCTAGTGTTGAGTAAGAGGGCTATTATTTCATTGTTTATCTTTAAGGAAAAAAAGGTTTTAAAATGTTTTAAACGGGCCCAATTGCTTTAGAAAAATAGAAAGATAATTATTTATCAAATAATGCCATATTAGATTGATGAAAACGCTTTTTGTTTCAACATTGTTTCTCTTTCTTCATGAGCCACTTAATGGGTATAGATCTTTTGTTGTTGTTTTATTTTTTATTGGATATCTCTTTTCCTTGAGCCGCTTTTAGTGTTGAGCAGCGAGACTTATACTTCATGGTTTACTTCTCAGCAAATGCTGTTTTTATATTTGTAATAATTACTTCTATATTGTTGCGCTTTTATTTAAGCCACTTCTAGTGTTGAATAGTGATACATTAATTAGAGAAGAGTTTAGGGAATAGCTTTGTAGTTAATTAGTATGTATCTTGCAATAGATATGGGCACTTAAGCTACGTATAGTGTTGAATAGAGAGTAGACGTCAATTAGAAAAGAGTCTATAGATGTTTACCCTTTGCAGTCAATTAGTTGTATTTACTGCTGCAATCGATATACCCACATATGTGTGTAATGCACTGCAATGGTAAAAGAATTCTAACACTTTCTGGCACCCAGCCTTGAAGCACGCCCCACAGTTGGCCCTGGGCCGGTGCTGGTGCTGGTGCTGTTGCTGTTGCTGTTGCTGTTACTGGTGGCATTGCCGTGACAACGGCTGGTGCTAGTCGACTACCCATACATATTAATATTATGTGAATGAGTGTGGAGCGAGCTGCTATGTACCTAATACATAATAAATCAATGCGAGCACGTCTGGTTCTGGCTGTGACTGTGGCTGTATTGCTGCTGTCCCCAATAACGAAATGCCAAAAAGAAAAGCAAAGAAGTATAACCTGTCATCAGCGACGTGGACGAGGACGAGGACGAGGATGAGTCTGGGCCTGTTTCGGACCAGCTGGAGCTGTCATTTCCCTGCACTAGACAATAACATCGACAATAATGTCGGAGTACGCGGAGTAATTTGACGTCGCTCGGTCTGGCGCGATGTTTCGTGCCATGGCGTGGTAATTAGATAAGTGGTTTCAAGGTCAGCTGACGCGTCAGTCAACTTTAAAAAAAAAAAAGAAAACAAAACTACTAACCAACACATAAAGCAAAATCAACAAAATGGGGCAAACGAAATATACAAGTGTATGGTTGGGTGTGGGTGTGAGTGTGTGTGTGTGAGAGTTTGTATACAAAGGAGTAACTTCTTGCTTGCAAGTCAAACATCCAATTAGAAGGAACACAGAATATACACAGAGTTTAACAAAAAAGTGAACACAAAGTAGTATCTCTTTTTAGCAGTTATAATAATAATAATAGTAAGTAATACAAGTAGTAGTATAAACAGTATTAGTTGGTAGTATGTTTTTGCTTTTTTCATGTTTTCGAATGTAAGCGTGGGTTTGGGTCTCAGGTTTCAGGTTTGTGGACTTGGGTTGGGGTGGGGGAGCGTAAGCGTTGGGATAGGTTAGTTAGTTGGGCAGGTGAAAGGTCAGGTCAGGCGGGGGTAGTTGTAATTTTTCGATTTCTTTTTAGAGAACATAGAGTTGTTTTTTTTTTGGCTTGGCTTGTGCAAAACACACTGTGGCAACTCAACGAACTTACCATCGTGTAGTGGATCTATCGTGTGTATCATTAGCTGTAATAGGCCATGACGGAATTTTGCACCGGTCTGTGTACTACCAGCAGTGCCACCACTGCTATTACCTGTAGCGCCCGCATTGCTCGAGCCGGGCGGACCCGAGCGCGTCTCGCTGGCCGCACGCGATGTCACCGAACCGCCCGGCTGTGTGGCCATCGACGTTTCCGATGAGTTCGCCGCATTACCCTGAAGTGAAGGAAGAACGATGGATGGGTGGTTGTGGTAACGGTTATGTTGAGACGTTGGTTTTATTTTATTTCATTTTTTTGGTTTTTTTTTTTGTTTTTCAGTTAATTGGGGTTTTTCGTTTTATTTTTGTTCCATAGAGCGTGATTGTTAATTGTGTGTATATTTGGTTTTATGTGTGGTTGTGGTTGTGGGTGTTGGTGGTGTTTATTGATGGTTGGTGAGTCGTAAGCATTTTGAGAAAATGTGAAAAGAAGAAGAAGAAAAGTTTATTATTGCAAATTGTATAAATTTACAGTTGAGTGTAGCGTTTGTTGTATTTGTTGTACTTGTTGTTGTAGTTGTAGTAGTAGTTGTTGTTGTATCGCTTAAACTCTAATCGAATTGGTATAAGTGCACATATTATTAGAGCCAATTGTATTTATTTGTATCAAAAAATTGAAAACTCATTTAACAAAAAAAAAAAAAGAAACACTCAAAAACAAACGCATAAAATAATATTAGTAAATTAATATTTAGCTTAAAGCCACACTTAAGGGACCATTTGCAGCATAATTTAGTAGCATAGCTGCCAAAATGTAGTTGGCTTTAGCTCTAAGAGTCCATGAATCCACTAAGAATACATTGAGCAGTCTATGGTAGAAATTTGAATGAAATCGCATGTCTCGTATGAATTGCTGTTTTGGTTTCAACAGCACAGGCAAATCGAATTGCACGAAACTCTGAAACAGCGACTGAAAATTCTTGATTTAGTGCCAAAAAAACGCAAAGAAGAAAACCAAAACTAGTTTTTAACACGACATAGACTCCAAGCTCAATTTTATGAGAAAATAAAGATTAAAAAAATAAGTAAAATAAAAACATATACAAAATAAAACTCAAAAACAAATAGTGAACAAGTTTTTTTTTTTTTTGAAAATTTATACATGTAAATAATTGTTTAAAAATACATATTAGGAATAAATCAATACACATAGAAACTTTTTGCTTTTTGTATACAATTTTGTTCAACTTTGGTTTGTTTGTTCATTATACATACAAGCTTCATTTTTTCATTTTTTTATGACTTTTTGTTTGTTTTATAAATTAATTTCTTTTTGTCAAAGCGCAGTGGGAAGTTTTGTTGTATTTCATTTTGCCTTCACTAAAAAACAAGAAACACATAAAACAACATTTTCAAATGATAATTGAATGAAACCAAGTTTATTTGGAGAAAAAAGGGGAATCAAAACATCAGTATCATGGATTACAAAACAAAATGTATATATACATATAGTATTTTGTAAATACTATGCATATATATATATAGTTTGTAATTCACGATTGCTGTTCAAGCTTAGGCACAAGTTCTACAAAGGTGTGTAAATGATATCATTAGGCAAAACAAATACTAACTACTTGGTGAACATGATTGTAAATAACTGAATGACAGATCTTATATTTACATAGTTCATGAATGTGGGGGACTATAGTTTAGATGAGTTTATTTATGCTCTTAAATGCTTTGCATTAAACAAAAACCATATAGCCGGAACGTCGATAACAGCTTTAGATAAAAGCCATACACATAGTTGAAGAAATAACAATGACTTGGCAAATCTAGACAGATGTTTTGATTCTTCCAAATGGCCGGCAATATTGTTGTTTTTACATTTCAATATATGCAGCTAGTTGGGGAATTTTTTATGGAGATAACAATGACTAGGCAGGCCTAGTGTTTACAGTTAACTGATACAATTTGTCTACTCATTCGTGACGAACATATCTCGATTAACATATGTATGTATCTAGTTTGTGGCTTCGAATAATAATCAAAATCACAGCACACTCATACATATAGACCCTCACTGCAGAGGGTCACGAGGTATAGGCATTTGTGTAACATTTAATTACAAAATTAGCGACTACTTTTAATTGCAAAGAGCTTTAGAAGCTGCAGAGCAATGCTCCCATTCTATTAACGGATTATAGACATTGTTGACAGTCGTCTGCAGCGCAACAATTTTAAATATATGTACATATATAATTTTTTTTTTTTGGTATTCAAATAGCTGCCTAAACGCTCAGGGAATCAATGCTATCAGCGATATACTACAATGGCTTCTATATTGTACAGATCTTAATGTTATAATTGACATTTAGTCAATAATAAACCCATTACAACAGCACTGCTAAAAGTTTCTCTCTCTTCATGACTCATTGCCACCATTTCTCTGTTGTCATGATTTTATCAAGGGTTGTAGTATTTAAATAAATTTATTTAAAATATTTAACAAAGTACCCAAAACTGCTCGTCTCAGAGAATTGTAGCCTTTGATTATCCTTATCCAGGAATTCTTCTATCGCAAAGTAGGACTTTCTAAGAAACTTCACTTCATCAAACAATAATCTCTGTTTATATCTAATGCAATTCTTCTATCGAAATACTATAACCACATCTTTGTAAACATATACTCGAGAACTTTCTAGCTTAATCGAAAAGTGGGTTTATCTAATTGTTATATTATAGTGTATGCCATAGCTGTCTACATAGCTGACAACTATAAGCTGTTTCTTTCATCTTTTTATGGCTATGACGACAAAGCTAACGGCAAACTGGCATTATAACGCTAAGTGTGACTTCAAAACACAATCTCTGCCAATTAGCATAAATGAGTCTTTTCAGTGAAATGGCGAATGCACTCAAAATAAGCCAAGAACAATGCACAAGCCAGAGAGTTTGGCCTTAAAAACTGAGTTGACTGCTTTTCGGGGGGCTGCCAATTAACAGCTCGTCTCGTTGATTCAATTATCGTAAAACGCCATTCCAGCCCGTTTTACCAGATTGTCAACAGACTGTGATGGATTTCATCATTAACTTAACTTAATAATTAATGCTAATGCAAAAGCTGCAAAGCTTTTATTTTTTTTGTTGGCCAAAACAAGTGTGAAATCATGTTAAAAACATGCTAAAGAAACCAACAAAAAAATTAAAATGCATCATCATCTGAGCAGAGATTGTTTAATTCAACACTTAGGTCGCATAATGAATTATTGAAGCCTGTATGAATCACTCAAAAGAGTCGACAGTTTTGAAAAAACGCGCACGCAGTGCTGGCGAGTTCAGTTTCGAAAATTTCAATATCAGTTTCAGGTGAATACGAAAACTGAACAGTCAGCGATCGAGCTGATGTAAGAAATGCAAATTGCAGCATCGATGCGATATTTTTGAGTGAATGGCTGAGCGAATGACTGCATGAGTGAAGTTCAATGCTCAATAACCCAATAACCTGTCGTAGGGTATCCCCAAAACCAGTTCCCAGAATTAATGCAGCGATTCGTGGAATCGGACGTAGTAGCCGCCGTGCTATAGACAGTGGCTCGTGTGTTTACCTCTTAAGTCGAGCTACTACGAATAGCGGTCGGGCCTCTTGGCCCCACGATGAGTGCTGAGTGCTGCAGCCGAGGTTCGGACGAACCTACTATAGAGTCTTCAGCGTAATCGCTGAGATTGTTATTGCTATTGTCTCGTCGTTTCGATTGAGCTGTATTGAGCGCATAAGTTTTATACGCTGATATATCCGGCAGTGCAAATCATTTGGTCACGACTCTTAAGCCCCAACGGACGTCCACACTCGAGTGGCTCGCGCGCGTGCCTTTTGTTTTCGAAATGTTTCAAAAGCGCTTAGTGGAAATATTTACACTGGTCTTTTACTGGCTGGTGGCCATGAAATGGATATACGCGTATGTCAGCGAAAAGAAATGGGTCGAATATAGCCTAGACCATATGGGTAATACCGTCTACACCCACGGTCTATTCCTGCTCGCCGTTATTGTCGGTTATGTGGTGCTCTATCGCATGGTCATGTTCACGTACATGAAGTGCAAGGTGTGTGATATAAAAATGTGGCACGATCTGAAGAAGATGAAGGAGGATCCGGAGGCACAGTTGTCGAGGAAAACCGAATACAAGCCCGTCCACAATGTCGATGTCGTCGATGGCCACAAGATGATACGCACCATTAGCAGTCCGCTGCTGGTCGAAAGGGATCTGGCCATGATACATACCAAGCACGAGACCCGGCCCCTCCGCAGCAATACATTGCGCGCAGCTCCCCCCGTCCCGCCAACGCCACCTGGCATGGCCCGCAAGCTGAGTCTGGGGGTGATTGTAACGCCAGACAGGCTCGAGAGCGCGCCCCTGAAGAAGTTCGCATCGGAGGGCACCATCTAGAGGACACTATCTAGAAGACACTATCTAGAGGACACTATCTAGAGGACATTAGTGTGTCGCGCGCGTGTGTTTTGTAGTCCAGTATTAAGTTATAAGTCAAGAGACCAAAGAATTCAAACGACTTTCAGATCCTGTGATCGATTATTAATTTTTAAATGTGCGATCGTCCATTTCGAATTGCAATAATTTAAGTAGCGAAATTTTGTCCGCGGACCCGAATATATTATATTTATTATACAAGTACATATGTACAATAATGTGCTATCGAAATTATTATTTATTATATAAATACATATAGATGTACGTGTGTAATTACAGTTAAGTTTTTGTGGTTTTTGTCCCAACGAATTTGTTTGATAGCAATACAAAACGAAAATCAATAAATAAATAAAATCATTAACAAAATAACTCAAATTGCATACTTTGTTTACCGAGGTAGGTTTTTAGATTATATTTGTGTCTAAAGATTAGAAGCTGATTTGGAAAATACTCGTATTTATTTCATTGAAACTTATACGATTGTCAGCCATTTTTTAATGACGTCATTTTTTTTACAAACTTATTATTTTCTAATATTTTGAAATTAATTGATGAAAAAAGTTAAAACGACTGGTCTAAATAAAATTTTTCAATGTTTTTTTTAAATATTTCTAAGGTTTTGAAAAAAATTTATTTTTTATATTGAAAACAAATTTGAAATGTTAACAAATTTTAACAACTTCAAAAGTTATATTTAAGCCTTTTTTAAAACCTTAAAAATTTATGTTCTTGGAATATACTTATCGTATTTGTGTTTAAAAATTCGAGTCTAATTTGGAAAATAATTATTTCGAGAAAAATTAAAACTATTACGATTGCTGCTGACCTTTTTTAATGACGTCAATTTTATTTTTTTTAACACACTTATTATTTTCTAACATTTTGAAATTAATTGTTGGAAATAAAATGAAACGATTGGTTCTGATACGACTCGAGAATAGATACGCTATTTTAATCATTTTTAAATGAATTAAATTTTTTTTATATATTTTGTAACTTTTTTGTATTAATTTTGTCATGTTTTTAAAATATTACAAACAAATTCGAAATGGTAAATAAATGTATAAGACTTCGAAAATTATATTTATGCTTTTGTCTTTAAAGAACATTTTCTAAATTTTTACCATTATTAAATTTGTTTCATTTATTAATTCACTGATTTAGATTAGTTTTTAAGTTTTAATAAGATAGTGAGCAATTTTTTTAAAATTGATTTATTTTTTATATTATTTATATTTGTTGTTGGATCGATAACTGCATGGCAGTCAGGCTCGTTTCTTTCCATTCCAATTGAATGAACCACTGTAGTCAGAGTAATGTTTGAACCACAAGCTACCCGCACAATCGTGCTTAGCATCGGCAAAATATATTTTACATGACAAATCACATTTGTTTGCGTCCGATTTTTCCTAAACATACAACTCGCATATTAAACGGTGCACAACTGTTTAGCAGGCTTGAATCGGTTTCCGTCGAAATCTACTCTTTGCAAAATAATGCAGAAGACACTGGTTAAAGTAATTGCATTGTGCAGCTATTGGGCATTAATGGTAACAGTGGTGAGAGAATGGGCGGAGGACTTTATTGACGATGAGGTTGACGAGAAAAACAAATCTTGGGTTACAACCTTCAGAGCGCACGTACCATTCGCAATTATAGCAATAATCGGCTACTTTGTGTTCTATATGTTTGTCATCTACATGTATAAAATATTAATGTCGTATGACCATAAAAGGGAATTAAAGTTGAGAAACATGAAAAAGCAAGGATATGCGGATAAAGAAGCGCAATACAGTCAGTCGAATACTAAAAATAACTCGCCAACAGTGACCCGAAAAAACTCGCCAGCAGGAACAGCCACACTTGGCAGGTCTATGGAATTAAGTGTACAAAATTTGCAAACCAGAAAAATAAATGAGCTGAAAATGCCAGTCACCCTACCCAGAAATTACCACGCACCAGGATACACCAGCTTTGGGAGGACCAAGCAGGATGCTGCACCTAAGCCTTCACTACCACCATCACCACCACCTCCACCACCACCAACTACGCCGCAACAAAAATTTTAAAATAATACAAATATTATTAAACTAACCAGAATACAAACGAAATTTTAGCCACGAAAACTTCTAGAATTATTCATTGATCGTACGATAAGCAATACCTTTTTTATATTTTCTTGAACTAGCATTTTTAATTTTTGTTAATTTATCGATTGACTTTTTATTATTTTGTCGCTGTTTTAAATAGGTATTCCTAGAAAAACCCTGTTATTTTTTCATTGTATATGTGAGTCAAAAAAACTTCTAGAATTAATCATTGATTGTTCTTGTATAGGTGTTTAATTCAAACTATTTATAAACAATAAAAGAAAATATATTCGCGTGTTTTTTTTACATTTTCTTGAACTAGCATTTGTATTATTTGTTAATTTATCGATCGATGCGCTATTATTACGAAAAACTTGTTATTATTCCATTTTTAATATTTTGGTTTTAAACCTTACATTATTAAAGATTTAGACCATTAATTATATATTATAAATTATTAAAATATTTGAAAACTTTTTAAATTAAATTAAAATTATTTCGTTGCTTAGTTTTTGATATTTGAGTATTCCTTTAAATTAATTTATTAAATTAAATTTGTTTAAATTGTTATTCGTTTTTACATAAATTTTCTTTCCTCTATTGTATTTTTTATTTTTTATTTTTTTATTTTTTGAATATCACGACACTAAGTAATAAAGTATTAAGAAACTAAGCGAAATATTTGTTTATTTAATTTAATTTAATTTAAAAAGATTCATATTTTTATATCGATTATAATTTCATTATTAATGCATTTAATATATAAAACTATGAAATAAAAAAATAAAATAAAATACAGTCGAATGTTTCACAAAATCATTGTTTCTTTTGATTATATATTTTTTCACTTTTATATTAATTTATGTTTGTAATCTTAAACATTTTTTTTTATATTTTTTAAATTTGATTTTTCAACTTTTTAAATAAATAATTTTAGATTTAATGTGATATTTGAGGCTTTTGTCTTTCGAATATTCTATACTTTTAAAATTAATTGATTTTTTTGTTAATTAACTAATTAAAAAAAAATAAATTTATATTTTTAATTTTTTTATCCTTTTTTAAAACTTACATTTTTTACACTTTAAACGTTGCGAAACCAAATAACTTTGTGGAAGTAATATAGGTATCTCGCTTTAAAGGGGCATGATTAATAGAAATATAATTATTACAAACCACCGGTATTTTTACAAACCCTCATTCATTAAAATAACTTTTCATTTTAAAATGCAATCTGTGATTCCGTAAAAGTTCATGTTTCACTCTATTGGGATTGGAATTTAGTTTCTTTGTCATACTTTTTCCGTTGTGCGGCTTTTATATTCTTATTCCAAATATATTTATGAGAATATTTAAACAGTCTATCGCATTACTTCTCGCTCGAAACATTTGCACGATCGCATAAAGTTAAAATCCGTTGTGAAAATTCATTAATTAATTAATTATTCTAGTTAGTCGATATCGACATACGGAGAATGTGTTACAAGAAAACAATTGAAATCCTCACAGTTATTGTTTATTGGGCTTTTATTTTAACAATCGTTAGGGACTTGTTAGTGAAAATGGATTGGATTGCGGAAGAGGAGAATCTGCTCCCAAAAATCGAGGCCCATATTCCGTTTGCAATTTGTGCAATATTCGGGTATTTCGTATTTTATATTATAACTATGAACGTCTTTTACAAGATTAAGGAGTCTAATTTAAACAATGAACTACTATTGATGGAGAAAAAAAAAACGCTCAACATGCCATCATCTACTATAGAAACTATATCGTTGGAAGGGTCATACACAAGTAATGAGATGCCTGAACTAGATACACGACTAGACCTAGGACCGGATACACCAAAAACCCCACCATCAGAACAATTCGCACCATTATCAGAACCTTTTGCTGCACATCCAATGCTTCCGCCAAAACCAGTGTCTTCGTATATGAATACATAGTCTTCAGGCTTGAATAATTATCAACCTGTAAAAATATCTCAATATATTTATATTTCTAAATTGATTATTTGTTATACATATTGTAAGGAAGTCTTTCAAAATGGTTATATGTATTCGAATTAATCCGAGAGTACCCAATGGTGTTATCTCAAATAAAATTTCATTTTGTTATAATTGGAATAGAAATAATATAACAATTTCATGTAAAATCAATAAAAAAAAATGCAGATAATATTGCATTTAATTTGTCTGAAGGTTTTTGCCTGTCCTTTTCCTTCAATAGCTATCGAACTAGATGCAACCAATTTTTTACAACTCTTCTAAGGTAAAAAGTAATTCATATTCACGAGCTGTAGCTTGAAAATAATACATCTTAGTCGTTAGTCTGTAATTTAACAATTAAAATAATAATAAATCAATAGATGGTCAACAATCGAAAAATTAACTTTGCGTTTTAAAGGGCCAACTTCTAGCTGATTTACCGAAAATTATCGAAATAAAAATGACTTTTTCGAGGGCTTTGAAATCAGGAAGTCCTAACATGAACTTAATGAGTTTCTTTTAGCTCCGAAAATAAATATATATAAATACTCTTTCCATAAAATTTAAAGCAATTTGTGCTTTAAATGTATGTATATAAAAAATAAATATTGCGCTAAAACTTTGTATTCAAAAAGTTCAACGTGCTGGCTATTTCTGAAATTATATACATATATTAGTACAACGCCAACGGCGATAACAGATATATTGAGGCTTTGTGTGTGGTCGACTTAATACTTTGGTCGAATTTATGCTGATAAGCATAAAGCATATTAGCAATGCTCTTAATTCAAGGCTTTCTCTTTATGATAAAAACCACAATGCGGTATCGCAAAAATGGGTTGTTTTTATGAATTCTGTTTTTTGTAATCATTTAAGACTTACTGTATTTTGGTATTAATTCACTTATAAATAGCTTTGAATGCATTTTAAATCGATTGATGGAACTATAATTAACAAGTATATAAGTATATAGGCGCTCTTTATCAAAATTGAAACTTTTGGGCCGAAATGTTGAGAAGGTCTTGATAAATAATTGTTAGGTAATTGTTATGAATATTTATTTACTTATTTTATTTTTAAATAAATAAATAAATAATATATTTCAACAAACATTGACTGTCGTCATAGGAGGAAAAAAATATAAAGATTATAAAAAGCATCTTATAAGCTATAAAAGCCTAAGAAGGAGAAATCTAATCAAATAACAATAATATCTAATTATCGCCTCC